TTTCTGCATGTAATACATGAGTCGAACTGTTCCTGTTTTCTGCATGTAATACATGAGTAACTAAGTCGATCTGTTCCTGTTTTCTGCATGTAATACATGAGTCGAACTGTTCATGTTTTCTTCATGTTCTACTTGAGTAGATCTGTTCCTGTTTTCTGCATGTAATACATGAGTCGATATGTTCCTGTTTTCTGCATGTAATACATGAGTCGATCTGTTCATGTTTTCTGCATGTAATACATGAGTCGAACTGTTCATGTTTTCTGCATGTAATACATGAGTCGAACTGTTCCTGTTTTCTTCATGTTCTACTTGAGTAGATCTGTTCCTGTTTTCTGCATGTAATACATGAGTCGAACTGTTCATGTTTTCTGCATGTAATACATGAGTCGATCTGTTCATGTTTTCTGCATGTAATACATGAGTCGAACTGTTCATGTTTTCTGCATGTAATACATGTGTGGCTAGTGAAGGCAGTGTAAAGAACTGTTCTATTGAATCAAACCCGATCCGACTAAAAAGGTTTCAGGCTGAACACAAGTATTCCAACATGATGTCTTATTACCAGAGGCTGCCGTTGAACAATCGCGAACACAGGTCAAACAGTAAAGGTGTATCGCAGGGAGGCCATGTACAATCGATATGATTACATTGCTGTCTGATTGGACACCAACTGGTCGTGTCAGGTGGGCGGCTACAATTCTACTTCAAAACTAATTGAAAAACTCAAGCTTTATCCTTAGCAAGTCAAAGAACATTCAGCTGTGTAATGCCGTGTAGACCTCTGAGTACTGTATCGTGGTATAAATCCTAGGTTGGATTAGAGTAGGAAACATCCACGATTTTATTTTGACAGACGCATTTGTAGACTGTCTGAGTACTGTATCGTGGTATAAATCCTAGGTTGGATTAGAGTAGGAAACATCCACGATTTTATTTTGACAGACGCATTTGTTTCAAATGACTAGGTTGAGCTCTATAAGAAGACGACGTGTAGCTAAATAAAAGTACAGCCGCCATATGTATTTCTCTGAGTGAAGCCGCGTGAAAACGCCCGTTTACTAAAACATATTATTCAATACGTGAAAAGAACTGTAGACAGTCCACCAACAGACATGCATTTATAACTTCTATTGGTGTCTATGCTTCGACTGTCTTTTGTTTGGGTCTACCTCGCCGTTCTTGTAGGACTGGCTACAGAAAAATCAGGGGAGTCAACAGGGCTGGCGTACACAGACAAATGCGCAGAGAAAAATATGCGAAAAATATGCAGAGAAATTTTCTCACACAGAAAAATACCACATAAATTGTATGAATGCTTAACGTTTTAAACAACTGTGTTAAAATATAAGGATTCTTGCTTTGGTCATCGTTTGTTGTTGACTGTTCAAATGAACTAATTTTTTTACTAACAGGACAGACCAACACAGTCGACAGATTTGTTGTAACTGTAAGTTACACGTTCATTTTGTAGTAATTACACACGGTGACATGATCCAACCAACTTTAAAACTTTATTACTTTTAAATAAAATGGGGTTAGTGTCTATAAATTAACATAAGACACGCTCGCACACACACACACACACGCACACACACACATATATATATATATATATATATATATATATATATATATATATATATATATATATATATATATATATATATATATATATATATATATATATATATATATATATATATATATAATAAAGTTAATGCAAGAACTGCCCACACGACCGTAGCATTGAGCTTGAGCTAATTAAAAGTGAACATTGTGCGACCAATAAAAACTTATTTTTGTCTGTATTCCTTTATGGATACAAGGCATAGACCCTCATCGCAAACCCACATAGAGGAATACTGACGCTATGACTTGTATGTTTACACAGATTCCTAAGGATCTCATACAAATACTAGATAGCAAATGAAGATATTTGAGAAAGGACCATCATTGTGATTAATCCCTTCGAGAACCTGCAAAGTAGCGTCAAAGCAACAAATCTCAGATGGATATCTGAGACAAGCCAACAATGCAGGGCACAGGAGAGAGAATGCGAGGAAGGTGAAGACGACATAGGATGGAGGACATCAATGCACGGACTGGGCTGTCTGTTGTAGAATTACTTCAAGCAGCAGAAGACAGAAAAAAAAATGAGAAAAATAAACTGTTACCCCATCGCCTCTGCCCCCCCGTGATAAGGGACGATTGATTGATTCATGTTTTTATATAGGTTTTTGAGGGAACTCCCAGCGAAGGTTTCTGCCATTCACATATTGAACGGACGGCGCCGTGCGGTAGTAGAGTGCAGGTGGGCTAGGGTTAGCTTAGTTCCTGGGGTCTGCTGATCCAGCATCCTGCATGGGGTTTGGGGTTCCACTAGAATTATTAACAGTCAAACCCTACGTCCTTCGGTGCAGAGGCGGTCCTTTAACCGGGAGCGCTACCAACTACCCATGAGAACTGTTTTAAAAAGTGCCATACACTATGCTGAGTTAATATAGTCGACGACTAAATGGAATAAGTGGCCTTCACCCGGCAGTATAGTAACAAGTGGCCTTCACCCGGCAGTATAGTAACAAGTGGCCTTCATCCGGCAGTATAGTAACAAGTGGCCTTCACCCGGCAGTATAGTAACAAGTGGCCTTCATCCGGCAGTATAGTAACAAGTGGCCTTCCCCGGCAGTATTGTAATAAGTGGCCTTCACCCGGCAGTATAGTAACAAGTGGCCTTCACCCGGCAGTATAGTAACAAGTGGCCTTCATCCGGCAGTATAGTAACAAGTGGCCTTCACCCGGCAGTATAGTAACAAGTGGCCTTCACCCGGCAGTATTGTAATAAGTGGCCTTCACCCGGCAGTATAGTAACAAGTGGCCTTCACCCGGCAGTATAGTAACAAGTGGCCTTCACCCGGCAGTATTGTAACAAGTGGCCCTCACCGGCAGTATTGTAATAAGTGGCCTTCATCCGGCAGTATAGTAACAAGTGGCCCTCACCGGCAGTATAGTAATAAGTGGCCTTCATCCGGCAGTATAGTAATAAGTGGCCTTCACCGGCAGTATTGTAATAAGTGGCCTTCATCCGGCAGTATAGTAATAAGTGGCCTTCATCCGGCAGTATAGTAACAAGTGGCCCTCACCGGCAGTATTGTAATAAGTGGCCTTCACCGGCAGTATTGTAATAAGTGGCCTTCATCCGGCAGTATAGTAACAAGTGGCCCTCACCGGCAGTATTGTAATAAGTGGCCTTCACCGGCAGTATTGTAATAAGTGGCCTTCATCCGGCAGTATAGTAATAAGTGGCCTTCATCCGGCAGTATAGTAACAAGTGGCCTTCGTCCGGCAGTATAGTAACAAGTGGCCTTCACCCGGCAGTATTGTAATAAGTGGCCTTCATCCGGCAGTATAGTAACAAGTGGCCTTCATCCGGCAGTATAGTAACAAGTGGCCTTCACCCGGCAGTATAGTAACAAGTGGCCTTCACCCGGCAGTATTGTAATAAGTGGCCTTCACCCGGCAGTATAGTAACAAGTGGCCTTCGTCCGGCAGTATATAGTAACAAGTGGCCCTCACCGGCAGTATTGTAATAAGTGGCAATCACCGGCAGTATAATCAAGTTTCTTTCAGACATTTTTATTCTTGGTGGGACAGGGATAGCGGATGGACATAGGTTACAGTATAAATTTTTTATGTAAATTGAATATTTTTTCTAGTTATTTTAATATAATCCAACAGTATAATTAGGGAAGTAGAGTGGTACCTCGACATACAAAAGCATCGACATACGAGATTTTTTTTAGATACAAGCTGTTGAGCCGGCTAAAATTTGCATTGACATACAAGCAAAATATTAGATAAGTCCGTGGAAAAGAAACACCCTGAAAAAAGTTTAAACTTTCTGTGCATCTGAGCTATTTAATGACACATGCCTAACTCATTTCCAAACTTTCTTAAAGGACGGAGAAAAAAACTTTCTTCGACAGGTGAGTGGGAAGTGAGGAAAGCGTGGCACTAAAAAGCAAAGGTCAGCACAAAGAAAAGCAGAGACGAAAATTAACATAAAGTAGCAAAACATTATATAGTAACAAAAGGCCGATATACAGTGGCCTAGGCAGAGGGGGGGGGGGTTAGGGGGGTATGACCCCCCATAGACCCCTCGGTATATAGAAAAAGTATGAGGGGGGGTGCAAATCGAAAGTTTGAGGGGGGGTGCAAATCGGAAAGTTTGAGGGGGGTGCAAATCGGAAAGTTTGTCCCCGGGTAAAAATTGGAACCCCCCCCCCTTGAGGCGATCCTGGCTACGCCACTGCCGATATAGTTTAGCATCAACAATGAGTAGGTCAATGAAGTTAAGCACCTCTGCTCTCTCCTCCCCCTACACTTGCCTGCACCACTAGCATTTTCTGTAAACTCAAGTCGGCTGATGTTCAAAGTAAACACACTTTATAAAACTAGTTTAATGTTTACTTCTTTGTTTTATCTTTTATTATATTATTCAACTTAAACACTATTTGTCATTCTTATTAACAAAACATGCACACAAAAAACAACTGGAGTGGCATTTTGAGAGTTGGAAAAGATTTAATGGCATTTCAATTAATCACAATGAAGAAATTTTTTGGGATACTAGTAATAATATGTTATAATTCATATACTAGCAATGTTCTGGAAAAAACATCTCTTATCTTAAGATACCACTGCGCGACTAAAGGAAAAGTTGACAAACTCTCAACTGTTTTCTTATGTACTTTACAATGATAAATCACTCTCTGACATTTTTTTTAAAGCATTTCTCACTAGAAAAAGGCATTGTATACCTTTGAAAAAAGCAAATTTTTAAAAATACCACAAGGATAAATAATTAAATATAAACTGATTAGTAGGCTATACCCAAATGTACTTAATAGTCAGGGTTAGGTCCAATAATTTAGTTATATAGACTAGGGTCTAGACTTTTTAAAAAAGTATCATGAAATGAACAAACTTTAAGTACTCACCTCATGGCCACCCTGACACTTGTATCATCTTTTTTCTCCTCGGCTTCTGCAGACATGATGGTCTAGAAGGCAGATTGGACCCAACACTTTAATTTGTTGTCCTCATAAATCCAAACTTGCTAAATGAAATTTGCTTTTTAATAGCCTTTTGTTTTGAGGTTTTGCTTTCAAGTTGAAATATGATTCACCCATTATCTTTTGAATATCACAATAAAAGCAAGTGGCCAAAATAAAATTATTAGGCCTAATAAGCCTTTATATAAAAATTATGAATAATTAGGCCCTAACTATGTTAAGCCTGAGTAGGCTAATGTTTTTGAGGTTTTTTTTATCATTCACAGACGTAAGAGTAAAAGGTATAGATCAAGATCTACTTTTTAAAAATGATTTAATGTGATAGAAAAAATAAATTAACAGTTAAGACTACTAAATTAACTTAAATTTGGCCTTAAACTCTCATTCCTTGGGGCTAAACTAGAGTCTAGACTCAGTCTAGCTACACTAGCTAGAGAGTCGTCTATTATCAATCTAAACTTAAGAGCTATATAGATCTGTTTTAAATAGTTTAATTCATCCGTCTTTAACATCTTAATTCATGTCTTACTCTTATGTCTTATTACTTAGGCCCTATTACTATTAAATTATTATAGATCTAGATTCTTGATCTAATATAGATTATTTATAGTCTAGGCCTATAACTTATATTCAATATTATTACGCAGATCTAAGAACAGATCTTAAAATCAAGTAAGATAAATAATCAATTTGATATGAATAGGAATAGGCCCTAGCTAATAATTAATAATTATAAGGCCTATAGATTATTATTCTAGTCTCTAAGCTAATTAAATAATAAAGACATAATATTGATGATAGTCTACATTTAGTACACAATAAACTTATTAATTAAACTACATTTTCATTTTCAGTAATCTATCGTTTTTTATGTGCGGAAAATAAGCCGAGGCTAGTAATGTGCGAAAAAGTTGCTTCATTGTAATGTTAAGGCTTTAATAGAAGTATCTGTATATATAATTCTCTTCTTGGAGCCCATAGAAAACACCAAGCTGTAAGAGCGCCTAGCAGCCCCCTCTCTTACTCTCTAGGCATATCGCTACCACCCCCACATGGTCTGATGAGCTGTGGTTCACGCTAAATGTTTACAATCGTAGAGCCGGGTTTAGTGAAGGCTATTAGGGGCAGATAATTTAGTTTGAAACGATTTTACACTTAGGGGAAGTAGCTAAGAGGAGGCTGCTTTCATGGGGGGGGGGGGGGGGAAGGAGGGTTTTAGCAAATAGTTTCAATAGCATTGGTACTGTCAAATTCACAAATTATGAATTACTGAAAAGTAGAAAATAAAACAACTAAATAGCGGTGTATGATACGCCGCGGGTTGGCTTGTATTAGTATATAGTATATTGTGATATATTTGAGTCAAATATTAAAGATAACTGAATAATAAACCAAAATCAATGGCTAAATATAAAAATATATTAATATAGTCAATCTAGGCCAGAAATTAACCTTAAACAGAAGTGCTTGCCAGCAAGATTTGCTATGTAAACAGCGACCATCTGTAAGTTAGAGTTGTTTCCCCTGAATCTCTATTGTTTTACCAAAAAAAAACCAAAAACAAACAAGAATCAAGATCGCTACTAAAGTAAATGACAAATAAACTTGGTTGCATCTGATAAAAACATCGCTAGATCTAGATCTAGTCTTTATTTATTACTGAAAAGTTTTAGGACGCTGCTAGCCGGAATGAGATACACATGCACAATGGAGAGAAACTACCACTTGCCATCGCGGCGATGTTTTCGATGGTACTGCGCATGCGTGTGTTTACAACCGCAGAACCCTAACACAACCCTAATCCTATCCCTAACCCTATCCCTAACCATAACCGATAACCCTAGCCCTAATCCTATCCCTAATCCTATCCTTAAGCCTTAACCCTAGCCATAGGTCACTGCGCATGCGCAGAGCTATCTTTTGCCGACTAAGTGGAGACATGGGGGAGAAAAATCTTCTTCCGAGTAGTCACTCCGAAAGTTTTAATACGATTTTTTAGAAACAGGTAGAATTCTACATTAAAAAAAACATTAGGCCTAGGCCTAATGAGAATGACTAATGCAAACTATGAAACATTTTTGTAACTTTCAAAACATGAATCCTCCTAAAAATGTGAAATAGATCTAGAATACTTGAATTTAATGAGTCACCTTTTTTTCACATTACTAGATTCTAGATCTACTAGATCTAGTAATCTAGTCTCGACCGATTTTTTTTCACGTAGAATCTATTTAGCTAGATCTAGACTAGATCTAGATAGATATCTAGATCTAGATTCTAGATCTAGAGTTTCTAGAACTCTAGAAGCTAGATTTAGATCTAGATCTAGAATTCTAGATTAAATAAATACAACGATACGATAGTTAGTACGATACCGATTAACTGATAGTCAATTTTCTATCTCATGTTCACACTCGAGGCAAAGAATACTTGTTTTACAACATTTGCAACATCCATAACTCGAAATACTCCAACAGGTGTTCCTAATAAATGGGGCACAACCTCACAGAACATACTCTTTTGATGTGCCGACTGCGGAAAATTTGACTAGGCCAAGTCTATATCTAGCATTCTAGCAGTAGCAGCCGACCGACTTTTTCCCCTTACAATTCGCTCTCGGAATTTTACGGAGAAAAAAGAAGACTTCCTCTAGAAAAGGTACGTAACCCATGTTTTTCGAATTGTTAACACAAGCCTAGCAGACCAATTTCTTTTCTTTTAACTTTCTCGTATACAGAGTATAGAGTACTATAGAGCAGGGGTCTCCAAACTTTTCAGTCTGAGGGCCGAATTAACCATCAAACTTCAGTTCGGGGGCCAGTTTCTTCCAGGCATGTCTTTGATTTTTCTGGGCAAAGTTCCTCAGCCATCACCAACAAACGATTTTTCCTTGGACATAAAGATCTCCGCGGGCCGGATGAGAGGACTTCGCGGGCCGCATCCGGCCCGCGGGCCGTAGTTTGGAGACCCCTGCTATAGAGTATAGTATAGAGGAAGTGTTATAATCGTGCCATATATAGGCTACCTCATTTCTGCCATTATTTATATTTTGCTTTTCCGCAGAGCGTTCAACAGCAGTAACTATAAAACTGTCATTATATATATATATATATATATATATATATATATATATATATATATATATATATATATATATATATATATATATATATATATATATATATATATATATATATATATATATATATATATATATATATCAGTGGCGTAGCGAGGTCGGGTGTCACCCGGTGCGGCACTTAATGGTGTCACCACCCCCCCCCCCAGAGTCGTTGCGACCCTTCCCGGGGACAAACTTTCAAGTTTTCGATTTGCGCCCCCCCCCCCCTCAAACTTTCGATTTGCACCCCCCCCTCAAGTTTTTCTCTATATATTTTGCTATTTTTTGCCTTGGTGTCACCCCCCTAAATGGTGTCACCCGGTGCGGTCCGCACCCCCCGCCCCCCCCCCCCCTCGCTACGCCCCTGATATATATATATATATATATATATATATATATATATATATATATATATATATATATATATATATATATATATATATATATATATATATATATACTGAGTTTCTTCCAGGCATCCCTTCGGGGGCTCTGTCCCCCCCCCCTCGAAAGGGGTGGTCCATAAATGACACCACACTACTCGTAGGGGGGAGGGGGGTCCGTAATTTAGTGACGGTGTGTGATGAGGGGGGGGGGGGGCGGCGGTTCAAATGGTGTGACGTCACACTTTTGCATTATGAAAAAGCAATGTTAGAAAATGATTTTTAGCCGTTATTTCGCGTTTTAGAAAACTATTTTAATGAGCTGTAATAGGAATTACAAGAGTTCAGACAAGATTTTGGAAAAATATCGTATTTTAAGAAAAATTCAACTGCAATTTTTAGGGGGATTGTCGGCTGATGTGTGAAGTCAATTTAAGGGGGGGGGGGAGTGTTTCTCCCAGACTTTTTTCTCCGGGGGGGGGGACTTGAAATATTTTCGGGGGGGGGGGAGCGCGGACACTGTTAAAAGTATATATTTTCTATATAAATTCCATTTTGTTCGGTGGGGCTTTTTGTGACAATGTGTGACGGAGGGGATGAGGTAAAAATCGTCCAAAAAAGCGTGACGTCATTTATGGATGACTCCAAATGGAATTTATATAGATTATTCTTTTTACCAGTGTCGTCGTCCGTCCATCGTCCCCCCCCCCCCCCCCCCAAATTTGTGCTTATGTTTGTGGTGAGGTTTAGGGTTTCTGTTTTTTCATGTCTGTGTTTATGTGGTTGTTTTTAGGCGGAAAGGGTTTATTTATGTTTGAAGTAGCTGTTAGATTTGGTTTATGTGTATGAGACTGGTGAAAGTTGGTTTATGTTTTCTTAGAGTAGAAGTGTAGTGAGAGGATCGGGTTTATTTGTGGTTGGGACTGGTGAAAGTTGGTTTATGTTTTTTTAAGAGTAGAAGTACGAGGAGGAGAGAGGGATTATGTCTATGTCTGTGTTTTTGGTTGGGTGTGGTTAAGGTTATTTATAATTTCTCAAATGTCGTTATTTGCATATAACCTTGGAATATGGGGGTCTTGTGTGATTAAGTTCTATGCCGTGTGACCTTGGATCTATCTAACATAAGCTATGCAACCATTGGTAGTGGGCGGCTCAAGTCGTATAGACTTGAATCCAGGAGCTGCCCTGAAGACTTGCGCGATAGCAGGCGAGCCAGGAGCTGCCCAGTGTTTCTTCCAGACTTTTTTCTCCGGGGGGGGGGGGCACTTGAAATCTTCGGGGGGGCGGTAAACTTTCTTCGGGGGGGCGGACACTGTTAAAAGTATATTTTTTCTATATAAATTTCCTTTCGTTCGGGGGGGCGGTAAAAATTTTTCGGGGGGGGGGCGAAGCCCCCCCGAAGAGATGCCTGGAAGAAACTCTGGAGCTGCCTGAAGACTTGTGCGATAGCAGGCGAGCCATCTCTTTATACCACTCAGGCTGTTCCACAGACAGTTATTACATCAGAGAAGGGAAAAAAGAAATCTCTTGGTTAGTAATGATTCGAATATCGATTTAACATTTATAATGCTCGTATTAAATTAGCAATACTGCTAGGTTTAAATGTCCAGTGTCAGCAGCCCAAGGTGATATGCCGGGCAACTGAAGGGTCAGGGACTACTTGAATCAAAAACTGCACCAGCCTGCTAGTTCAAATATGTGATTACACACAACAAGGGGTGCCACCCGGGGTGCCTATGGTAGTGCAACCAGTGGCTCCCATTACACACAACAAGGGGTGCCACCCGGGGTGCCTATGGTAGTGTAACCAGTGGCTCCCATTACACACAACAAGGGGTGCCACCTGGGGTGCCTATGGTAGTGTAACCAGTGGCTCCCATTACACACAACAAGGGGTGCCACCCGGGGTGCCTATGGTAGTGTAACCAGTGGCTCCCATTACACACAACAAGGGGTGCCACCCGGGGTGCCTATGGTAGTGTAACCAGTGGCTCCCATTACACACAACAAGGGGTGCCACCCGGGGTGCCTATGGTAGTGTAACCAGTGGCTCCCATTACACACAACAAGGGATGCCACCCGGGGTGCCTATGGTAGTGTAACCTGTGGCTCCCATTACACCCACAAGGGGTGCCACCCGGGGTGCCTATGGTAGTGTAACCAGTGGCTCCCATTACACACAACAAGGGGTGCCACCCGGGGTGCCTATGGTAGTGTAACCAGTGGCTCCCATTACACACAACAAGGGGTGCCACCCGGGGTGCCTATGGTAGTGTAACCAGTGGCTCCCATTACACACAACAAGGGGTGCCACCCGGGGTGCCTATGGTAGTGTAACCAGTGGCTCCCAACAGCATTCCCAGACACTTTCAGACGGGCAGTTGATGAAGGGTGTTAGGACAAACTCATTTCAATCAATTATTTAACTGAGAAATAGATTTTTAAAATTTAATTATTTTTAACACTAATGGGCAATATTGCATTCAGATAAAATTTGTTTTACAATTTTAACATAACAGGCATTACATTATTTAATTTAACAGTATCTACATACATTATAAAAATCTTCAATCATACATGAACATGATCAACCAAACGAAAGAATAACAATTTTAGAGAAGACACAAAATTCCACAATGGCCTGAGCATGAGAGAGTGTGGCTGATAGTGATAAAAAGGTCTATAAGGCTGACAACATCAGACATCTGGATTTATCAAGCAGGTAACATGTTCTCTACTTAAGCACTCACACAAGCAGGTAACATGTTCTCTACTTAAGCACTCACACAAGCAGGTAACATGTTCTCTACTTAAGCACTCACTCAAGCAGGTAACATGTTCTCTACTTAAGCACTCACACAAGCAGGTAACATGTTCTCTACTTAAGCACTCACTCAAGCAGGTAACATGTTCTCTACTTAAGCACTCACACAAGCAGGTAACATGTTCTCTACTTATGCACTCACACAAGCAGGTAACATGTTCTCTACTTAATCACTCACGCAAGCAAGTAACATGTCCTGTACTTAACCCTTTCCCCGGCGACTGGGTGTAATCGACCCGAAGTCGCTATATTTTTGCTCATATCTCGAGTCTCGTTTTATAAATTTTTCTGGGCCTCATTCCCATCTATAAGGTGGTTAGGATGAACACATTGGAGGTTGTAAATTTTAAAAATATGCGTAAAAATTTTTTTTATGAGGGTTTGAAATTTTTTTATACGGTCCCTGGCAACTGGGTGCTACACACCCGTACACAATTTTGAATGAAAAAAAAAATGTATAACTTATAAACTGGCTTCTAACAATTTGATTTTACTCATTGTGGGTTAAGTCATTGTGTTACATTTTCAAAGTTTAACTATAAATTAACAATCTGAAGGTATTTGAGTAACAAAAATATCAAACCAATTGAAGTAATCAACTTTAGTAACAAAATATTAGAACATTAACACGTTTTAAAAATGTGCACCTCAGAGAGCACAGTTGTTAGTTAAAATTAAAATAACTGGACATTTCCTTTTGCTGGCAGGGAACTTTAGTTGTTTTTTTTTTATAAAATATGGCCACCCTTTTAGTGGTGTTACATGAGTCACATGTCCAAAATATTTTAATTCCATACTTATCGGAATTGCTTGGTATGTATTGGATAAATCTACTCCCACCTCTAAAATCAACCACTTGCTAATTAGTAATGATCTCTCCAGAAACATAACACCTTTCTAAATTTGAATGGAATATCTACCATAATGGAAGCAAATATACCATGAGCCTGATGGACTGTTAGTGTTATTGTTGTGAAGTGAATATGACCCAGAAGGTTGCTGAATTTCTTCATAGAAAATTCTGCCTTCAAAAACTTCCATAAGCAGAACTGAATTGACATACAACTAAATTGTTATTCTGCAGAGTGCCAGTGTCTCCTCTTGCTTTCTCTCCATCTCTGCTAATGCAGTCAAATATTGGTTGTATTATTTTTTGTATTCATGCACAGAAGAAATATTTAGGGTCAGACTGTTTGTAAATTTCCTGGGATTAGCACTTCAGGCAGTGGTCTAGTGTACTGTTACTTTGTCTTTCCTGAAAATATTTCTTTTTCTTCACTTTGCACCAGCCGTTTCATTTCATTATGAGTGCCAACTGTTGACACATTATTGATAGTTGAAATGCAGTATAGTGGGTAGACCTCGTCATCAGAGCTGCTTGATACTGTTGGCTGCCATTCTTCATCTTCTACCTCTGATACTGATGGCTGTCATTCTTCATCTTCTACCTCTGATACTAATAGTTCAGACTCAAAACTTGTTGGTCATTTTCACCTGCTATACTAAAACTGGCAAATATATTCCTTTATCATTAGCACTTGAGTTTAGACAAAAGCGTTCAAGACTTGTTTCTGTTGTGTTCTCAATAACGTTTGTGACTATTTATAAACCTTACTCTCAGGGTCACAACCTGTAGAACACCCACCCCACTTCCAGTTTGATCAATTAATTGCCCAGTATTAACTTACAAGCAGCATTACAAAGTTGTTTTGCCTTTTTGTCCTCATTCGTACTCCTAATGAGGTAAATGTCAAGTTACTCTAAAAGGCTCGAATGTCTCTATCTACATTCTAGAGCTCCCTAAAAGAGTACAAATCACTATAAATGTCCTCCCACAGGCAATCTTACCCCTGCATTTCATTAACCTATTGTAACTCTAAACTACAGTTCTGTCTGTAACTGCAAGTCAGAGCTCTAGCAAAGAGTATAAATCACTACATGTGTCCACCCACAGGTTAACTCTAGCTTGAGAATCCCACCAACCACTAGTATCATATTACTATCATATTACAGCTCTCCCATTGACAACATGTCTTGTGTTCCCCATGGCCTCTGTTCCCTAAATACCTCAACTGTGTCAGTATTGTTACCCACCCCACAATGAACAAAGAAAAGAATTTACTATAAGAAAGTCTTTGGGTGTGATCCACCCAGTTGCCGGGGACAGGGTACCAAATATGTTGCCGGGGAAAGGGTTAAGCACTCACGCAAACCCAGCCAACAAAAACAAAATTCACCCAGCTGAATACTACAGCTACTACAGCTGAAACTCTGCACAACAGACTACTACAGCTGAAACTCTACACAACAGACTACTACAGCTGAAACTCTGCACAACAGACTACTACAGCTGAAACTCTGCACAACAGACTACTACAGCTGAAACTCTGCACAACAGACTACTACAGCTGAAACTCTGCACAACAGACTACTACAGCTGAAACTCTGCACAACAGACTACTACAGCTGAAACTCTGCACAACAGACTACTACAGCTGAAACTCTGCACAACAGACTACTACAGCTGAAACTCTACACAACAGACTACTACAGCTGAAACTCTACACAACAGAGTTACGTCTGTCATTCACATTTTTCATTGAACAGATTCAATACTCCAATAGGCAATTAGCCAGACAAACTTGGAAATTTAGAACAACTTTGATCTAATCACTTAAATACAAATGCATTCTTTAGAGCAATAAACAAGACATTTTAGAACAAAAAGAACAGTTCATACAAAAGAACAGTTTCATAAGTTAGAGCTGCTAGCCTGTCCTAGTTGGAAGGACAGATGAAATCAATGCACCTGTATGAGCTGCTAGCCTGTCCTAGTTGGAAGGACAGATGAAATCAATGCACCTGTATGAGCTGCTAGCCTGTCCTAGTTGGAAAGACAGATGAAATCAATGCAGGTGTATGAGCTGCTAGCCTGTCCTAGTTGGAGGGACAGATGAAATCAATGCAGCTGAATGGTAGCAAGGACACATCCTTGATGAGTCACACATTGGCATCCTCCAATAACATGGTATGATTTGGATTTATTTTGATTGGTTCATCTGGAGCAAACTCTCGACACCATCTATCTCTAAATGTATGTTCTATGATAAGGCTCATGCCTATTTGAGATTTATTATCAAAGCCTGAAGAAGTTGAAAGATCTGAGGAAATTAAAGTCCAGCCTAAATTATGTAGCTCTTCCCCAACCCTTAGGCGCACAGGGCTGCCAAACAACTCAAGTTCTGTGTACTCATACGGCTCTTTACAGCTCAACCTTTCACTGCTATCAGAGCCAATGACAACAGGGGGCAGGGTGAGAAGAATGTCTGTGCGCCCCAGTAAAATAGTCTTGACCCTTGAATTACACGTTGGCATTGTGGCTGTTGAGCCTGTTCTAACTTCAATTATCTCTAAGTAAAATGTGTGCCCTTTCCTCTTATCTCTCAAGTCATTGATGGCGTCTATGAGAGGAGAGATCTGATAGAAGTCCGCCTCAGCACTCAGCAGGTCTAACTCTTTAAAGTTGGCTGGCAGGCACAGCTGGGAGCATCTTAAAAAATTGAGAATGTGTCTGAAGGTATGACCATCTCTGTCAATAAAAAGATGACCATTTGCATCTTTAGTGCTTGGCATACCACGGCCAAGCAGAGAGCCCAGCATAGATTCAGGAAACTTCAACAGGGTGGCTGTAGTGGTTGTATAGAGTACTCCACCAACATTTAATGTTAACACAGACTTGGACATCTTCAATCAATGGTTGTCATGCACACGCCCTCGTCTGGTACATCTTCAATCAATGGTTCAATCACAAAATCATCTGGAAAACAAAAAAACTTCACAGCTAGTAACTTCAAGAGTAATTACTACTAATGTTATAGTTATTTTTAAGAAATGGAGTGGTCTAGCAATAGAATGTGTATTTGGTCTAAGACCATTGCTCAAGCAGGTTACAACTTCTAATGAACGAATGATTATTATTTGCAATGAAATCAAGAAATAGTCTCTGTATTTTAAAAGTAAATGAGGCAATCTACTTTTTTAAAGAGCTTTAGCATTTTAAAATATACACTATTAATATTATACACTACCATCCAGGGCATCACTTTTGCTGGTTTGATATATTTAGGCCTAATTATTAAATTAATATAATACTCTAATTCTCACTGATTTAATTTTCATAATTTAGGCTAATCTTCTTTCTTCTTCTACGTTCTTAATTTTTAGTGTTGGGAGGGATCGAGCCTTATCTGCCAGAGGGTTTGAACTCAAGACTTTTTTCGAATTTATCAACCATGAGCTTTTGTCGACTCGACCATGCTTCCATCACAATTAAGGATTACGTGTCAACTGGTTATGCGCCATTGAGGCCATTGACTCAGATTTCAGACTGCTTTTCTTTTTGGATTTTGCTTCCATAGCCTTTGTCCAACCAAGGATAAACTACAAGGCAGCAGTTGTTTGATTTTGGAGTTGTCTCTCCTAGAAGAGTGGCTAATGATTTTATTTATTTCTTAATATTTAGTTAGGCCTAGCCCTGGTAATTTATTAGATCTAATATGATATATCTAATCTAGATAAATAATTAGGACTAAATATTTAATGTGATTTAATGTGATGTGTCGGTGCCCTAAACTCTGTCTTTATTAAGCTTAAGATTCGCTAACAATTGGCTTTAGTATTAACTAATAATATTATAATAATACTAATATTATTATAATTATTACTATCGTTCTAGAGTAATCTAGATCTAGAGTAGACTCTTCGTTAATCTATCATTTTAGGTACGTAAAATCGCCCGCGGTTAGTAATGTACGAAAAAGTTACCTCATTGTCAAGGCTTTAATAGAAGTATATTGTGATAGATTTGTGTCAAATATTATAATTATTAACTATAGATAAATGAATAATAAACCTAAATCAATGGCTAAATATATCAATATAGGCAAGAAATTAACTTTAAACAGCAGTGTTTGCGAGCAGGATTTGCTATATAAAAAGCAGCCATCTGTAATTTAGATTGGCTTCCCTGAATCTTGCGCTATATAAGTTTACAATAAAAAAAAATAAACAAGATGGCTGCTATTGTAAATAGGTAAATGAGCATGGTTGCATCTGTTGGAAAGATCGCTAGTCTTCATTTATTACTAAAAAGTTTTAATTCAATTGTTTAAAACTAATGAAAACAGGTACATAAACGAAACATTTTTTATTTTTTTGTATTTTTCAAAACATAAATCCTCCTCAAAATGTAAAATAATTATTAAATTTATTCAAATTTATTCAAACAACGGTTACAATTGTAGGCACAAAGGCCTTTTTTCACATTGGCCGTTTAAACAAATAAAACAATTCAATAACACATAGCAGTAACACATAGCACTAAAAATGTGGAATAAAGAAACAATGGTACATAGTTATCATACACAATGAGATAAAAAAGAGAATATAATAGATGAATGAGAAATGTTACAATGAGTCAGTTAGGTCATTAAATAATTTTAGTTTTAGTTTAGATTTGAATATATTTTCAGATCTAGATAGCTTTATTTTATTTTAAAGAGTTGCCTGTTTTTCACATTACTAGATCTAGATCTAGTCGCGGGCAATTTTACATACCTAAAAGTAAAACGATAGATTCCGACTCTTCTTATCTTCTAAATCTATGTCTACTCTCTAGTCTATCAACTATCATTCTAATATGTCAATGTCATAGACTTACTTAATGATTAACTTAATAGTAAATACTTAAATACTTCTTAATCTTAGACTATGAGTTGAATACTAGATGAATTAATTGAATTATGATGTAGAAATTGTAGATTTTAGTTTTTAGGTCTACGGCTAAATTTGGAAGACGCTAGTAATGTCTTATGAATATGGCTTTCATTTGTGCATAATCATTTAATTAATAATTATGGTATATTTTACAAAATTCTATAGATCTAGATGATTAAATTAAAAAATCGCAATCATGGACCAAACCAATTAAAAATACCCTGAGATGAATTTATATATAACAGCAGTGTTTAAAACAAATTTCAGAAAATACAAGGGGCTGCAATCTTTCAAATTAGAGTAATTTCCCCTGGCGCATTTTCTATTTCTAGTCTCTAGTGATCGGGGGGGGGGGGGGGGGGGGGGGGAATTGCTCTACAACTAGGTAGTCCAAACTGGCGAAAAAGTGCGTTTTAGGGTCAGTTTTCGCGGTTTTCAAAAATAAAATTTCACTACTTCTAGTTGTCCTATAAGAATAAAAATTATATGTCAATAAAGTTTAAGCCTTTATCTGTCGTAATCTGGTATTTTTATATCTGTAACACATGTTTGAATGTGTTTTATATTTGTTTGAAAAGTATCAGTTTCGTCAACAAATTTCACCGTTTTGCGTGTACCGATCGACCCCACACTGTTTCATTTGGTTGCGGCTTCGCGACGAAGCATCGTAGAAGCATAATCTTAATGTCATTTTAAAGAGCGAATTCTAGTCTATCGTTTGATGTATAAATTGAAAAAATAACTTGCTTATTTCATTTTAAAAAATCAGTTTTTAAACTTTAAATGACGATATATACACGAAAACAAACTAATTCTGTTTCAATCTTTACACCGATGTAAAGTTCACTTTTATAACTACTTTGTGTTGTAAATTCAAGTCTTTCTGATTTACGGTCGCGAAGCCGTACCCTCAATAAGCATATAACCCTCGAGTCAACTTTCAGCCCCGAGTCAGTTGCTCGCCGAACGGTTTTAAAGGTTGACGACCGATGATGCTAAACGGATTTTACCCTTGCTAGAGCCTTCAAACAAGTTGTAAGTATCATTTTTAAAGTTTCATTTCCATTTTAATAAATGAATTTTAAGTTTGAATGTCAGTTTGGTTTAATTAGCACACGTTATTAATGTAAATTTGAACCCTACTAGTCCACGGTTTTAGCGCGTGAACTACGCTTGTACACATGGTGTGTTTAAACGTGAAGCTATTTAATTCAGGACATTCTAGGGACTTAAAATATGGATGCACTTAACTATTAGATGCTAGTGTTTACTAATTCTTTAAAATCTATCGAATCGGATTAATGATAGGGTCGTATTACTACAGTTTATCTGGACTATCGCGTCAAAATTATGAATCGACAAATTCAAAATGGCCACCAGACATTTTTGGTTACTATGTGGACGAACTCAATTATTTACAGGGAACGAAGGTTAAATACTTATAAAATATTATTGAAACACAAAAGAAACTTATAATTGTAATAACTATAAATTTTTATCAATTTATTTAAACAAAAGACACTAAATTTTAAGGACTAATGTGATTAATTTTTAATTTTCTGTTGTGCACTTTGATTCTGATTCCCCTGCTGAATAATGTGAAATGGTCTGCGCCAGTCTCCTTGATAAAATGTACCAGATCAATTTTTAGATGGTGGTGCAATTTAACAAGATTGTACATGTTGTGACTTAGTTTTAAATGTTATATTAGTTGTAAGTGTAAGTAGTACTAGTAGTATTTCTCATTATTTATTTATTTTATATGTATATAGTAACACTGAAGGACAGTTAAGTTGTCCTATATGATGTTGAGAACCACAGTATGGCATCTTCATCATTGGATATCTCAACCATTGTGGCACAAACAACGAATATTTCATTCAATTGTTCAAAATATACTATCAAGTATAAATTTCTTTTAACAAAAAGGTGTTTTCAGGCTTTTTCATGTTTCCAGCTACAGTCACAGGATAAATAGTAGGCCTACACAATAGGCTAGTAGTAAATCTAATTATATTTTATTTAATCACTAAATCAATTATTTATTCCATAGCTGGAGACATTTATGGTGGCCTATCCAGAACTTTCCTTACAAGGGAAGGGAAGAAGGCCAAGCCCCCCCCCCCCCCCCCCCCAACTACAGTTCCCAAAACATATCACTTACTCTTGATGCTCCACAAGATCAAGGTTGGGGGAAACAAGACATACAAAGATGTGGAGTTGTCGTTTTAAAAACTGTTCCCCCAAAGCAGTTATCAACCCAATAGGTTTGAATGTAGCAGCAACTGCTGCATTACTTGTAGGCATCACGTCTTTATTAGATTACATTACATTACTCCACTAAATTTTGATTCTGTTTCTCCTGCTATAGATAACTGTGGCATTTTTTTAAAATAATATTTTAACTCATGTGATTTTTGAAAATAATGAACACATTATTCCTGTTAATGTTACCAACAAAATAGTTTTAGAGTTATTCTATGTACAAAGCAAAAAAAAAAAAAAAAAAAAAAAAAAAAAAAAAAAAAAAAAAAAAAAAAAATTATAAAAATAAAAGTGACCAAAACGCATTTTTGTCATTTTCAATTATTTTTTTACCTTAGAAAGACTCATTTTAGATAACTGAAAAAAATTGGGCATATATATTACAAACTTTGCAGTAACTTTACCAATTTCTACACTTCTATGTTATTTAGTTTAGAAAATATGGGTTCTCAAAAATGGCACTTTTTAAAAATCAGTTTTTTACCAAATTTTGCTTTTTTAAAAATCGCATAACTTTTTTATTTATTAAGATATTTTTATAAAATTTGTGGCATAGAGCTTACAATTAAAAGTTCTTTCATGACATACTCACTCCAGAAGTCTGCAATCAATAGTTAATTTCAGTTTGGACTACCTACTACAACACATGAAAAAAAATCTTTTTTTTTTTTTTCGCGAGGAAGAAAAATAATAAAATCATGTAATTTTGATTTTATATTAAACTATCTTAACATCCTCTGACCGCCACTCTCGTTTTCTTGTCAGCGGGAGAAAAATCCCGTCTTGATAGACGGGTCAGTGCGAGTTCATAAAGAGAATATTATTTTACACAAGAATCTATATTTTTAAAATTTCAAAATTCTAAACATTCTGACGTTTTCTAATCTGCGCGAAAAAAAAAAACAACCGCCGTTTGAGGGGTCGGTATAGACTACATTTCGAACCGTCCCACTTTTACTCATTAAATCTAGATCTACATCGTGACTTAATAAGCGCTACCTTAATATACTGCCTTGTTTTTTCGAAGGGAAAAAGTATACCCGCATGCCACAACGTCATTCAAGGTCAATACCTCGGTGAATTATTTTTGCTCGGTTTCAATGAGCATTTAGCCCTCCCTCTTCTCCACCGCATAAAAAAAAAAAAAATTACTAACGTGGTCGGGGTCAAAAGTGTAATGTTTAATTCAATAAAGAGAGCAGGTGGTATTGAAACAACGCAGCTGTTTCTGTAATAGTAAAAATAAATTATACAGGAAATTTGTAATCTCATTACTTAATTAATTAGTTAATTTAAAGTGGGGGGGGGGGGGTTCGTTCTGCTACGAAATAAAACAAAATTTCCTCGCAATTCCCCAACACCCTAAGGGCCTAAATGTTTCATGTGTGTTGTCAGTTTAACTTTGAAACGCAAATAAAATAATACACAATAGTTCTTATTGTCTTTTTGGTAAAATCACGATTTTACTGTCTTTTTTTACATTCTAATTTTATTTTTTTGAGAATTTTTCAAGTTTAAAAATTACACACACTACGTGTACATTCAGTAATAGTAATAATGCATTTGATGTGAGTTTTGTAGCTGACATATTTTGAGGCGGGCCATTAGCCATACCGCTTTGCTTAGCAATAATAAACAACATGGCTACCCTGTGACCCTACAATAAAATAAGATATTCATTGTTCATTCTATTCAATTTTAAAGGTGTGAAAATCTGTGCTGTTACTGTAATGTTAGTCGTCATTTATAATCTACCAATTTTACATTAGCTTTAGTTAGATTATCGGGAGGATTTCTTATACCACTGTCCCAGAAGTGTCCGAAAATGTCACAATAAATTCAATAATAAAATAAAATAAAGATAATCTATCGTTTTAGGAACGTAATAAAATCGCCCGCGACTAGTAATGTGAAATACAGGTGACTCCTTAAATTTTAATAATTTTTTCACATTTTGAGGAGGATTTATGTTTTTTAAAATACAAAAATGTTTCCTTGTTTCATTTATGTACCTGTTTTTAAACAATTGTATTAAAACTTTTCAGTAATAAATGAAGACTAGCAATGTTTCCAACAGATGCAACCATGCTCATTTACTATAGCAGCCATCTTGTTTTAGTTTTATTTTTATAAGCTTATGGCATGAGATTCAGGGGGAAGCCACTCTATTTTACAAATGGCTGCTGTTTATATAGCAAATCTGGCTCTCAGACACTCCTGTTTAAAGTTAATTTTTGGCCTATATCGATATATTTAGCCATTGATTTAGGTTTATTATTCATTTATCTATAATATTTGACATAAACATATGACAATATACTTCTATTAAAGCCTTGACAATGAGGTAACTTTTTCGTACATTACTAGCCGCGGGTGATTTTACCTACCCAAACAATAGATTACCATAATAAATATTATTAGGCTCTAATAGTAATTAAATAGGCCTAAATAATTTTAGTTTGCTAAACCGAAAAGTCTTGAGTTCGAACCCTCGGGCAGATGAGGCTTGTTAGCTGGGGACAGCCACTCTTCTAGGAGAGACAACTCCAAAATCAAACAACTGCTGCCTTGTAGTTTGTTCTTGGTTGGACAAAGGCTATGGAAGCAAATCCAAAAAGAAATGCAGGCTGAAATCGGAGTCAATGGCCTCAATGGTGCATAACCAGTTGACACGTAATCCTTAATTGTGATGGAAGCATGGTCGAGTCGGCAAAGCTCATGGTTGATAAATTAAAAAAATAAAAAAAGTCTCGAGTTCAAACCCTCTGGCAAATAAGGCTCGATCCCTCCCAACACTAAAAATTAAGAACGTATAAGAAGAAGGTACGTAAAATCGCCCGAGACTAGTAATGTGAAAAACAGGTGACTCCTTAAATTTCAATAATTATTTCACATTTTGAGGAGGATTTATGTTTTGAAAAATACAAAAATGTTTCCTTGTTTTATTTATGTACCTGTTTTTAAACAACTGAATTAAAACTTTTCAGTAATAAATGTAGACTAGTGATGTTTCCAACAGATGCAACCATGCTCATTTACTATAGCAGCCATCTTGTTTATTTTTTTTTAATTATAAACTTATAGTGCAAGATTCAGGGGAAGCCACTCTAACCTACAGATGGCCGCTTTTTATATAGCAAATCCTGCTCGCAAACACTGCTGTTTAAAGTTAATTTCTTGCCCATATTGATATATTTAGCCGTTGATTTAGGTTTATTATTCATTTATCTATCATATTTGACACAAATCTATCACAATATACTTCTATTAAAGCCTTGACAATGAGGTAACTTTTTCGTACATTACTAACCGCGGGCGATTTTACGTACCTAAAACGATAGATTACCTAATTTTAAATACTAATAGTATTTTATACCAGTGTCCAATAATGGAATCTTCTTTAAAAAAGGGGTGTTAGGTTACTTCTAGTTAACTAAATACACACCACATGGCTGGCTAATTTCAATGCTAACCCTAACCCTAACCCCAACCCTGGTCCTACCATATGCCTAACCCTAATTTCAAATTTCTACACCCCTTTTTTAAAGAAGATTCCTTTATCAGACACCGGTATCTATTATCATCCACTAAAAATAGGCTAAATGGTAATCTATCGTTTTAGGTGCGTAAAATCAGCCGAGGCTAGTAATGTGTGACAAAGTTGCCTCATTGTTAAGGCTTTAATAGAAGTATATTGTGATATATATATCACATTACTAGCCTCTGCCGATTTTACTTACCTAAAACTATAGATTACCTAATAAATTAATTATTAGGCCTATTATTAATGAACTATTATTATTTATTAATTGGGATATGAATACTAATGAATACTTTTATTAATTTTATTTATAAAAAGGGGTGTAAGGTTTCTGTTAGGTTGCTGAAGTTAGTTAACTGAACTATCCATTGCTAATGTATATATGCTAACCCTAATTTATAACCATAAAACTAGATTGTTTATCAGATTACTAATACTAACATAACAAACTAACACTAGCCTGACTGTCATGCTGAGTGGCACAGTTTGAACCTATTCAATGGCTTTAACTGTTTGGCTGTTATTTTAAAATTCATACCTTGGATTTTTTTTTTTTTTTTTTTTTTTTTTTTTTTTTTTTTTTTTTTGCTGTTATCCACGAAAGGGTTACTTTCCATTAAAAAAAGCCATTTCCAATTGCATAGGCTTTATTGTAATTTTTTCCGTTCTAATTTACAATATATATGCCCACTATAGTAACTTATAAACTTCTAATACTTATAATTTTATTCAGTGACTACATTTGTTTTCTAATTAAAGAACAGAAAAATGGCTTTATCTAGTAGTTATTCAAGTGATGACAACTTTTCAATATCTGCAGAAAAATACCTAGGTAAGTAAATTATAAATTAGCCCTATACCTAAATTTATTAAAATTTAGATATGCGTTTGATTAAACAGACACAAAGAAAACAAATTGCACTGTAATCTAAACTACTATACAATCAAATTTATTACCTGAGCTACTTAAGTGGAACATTTATGACATAAACTACTAAAATATCAAATATGTGAACTCCAGTCTAGTCAAGTACCAAATCATGTGTATGTTATGTTGCATTGGCATTTTACACTTAAACATTGGCTGTAAAGTCAGGTTGTATGGTCAGGTTGTATGGTCAAGTTGTGTTGTATGGTCAGGTTGTATTGTATGATCAGGTTGTGTTGTATGGTCAGGTTGTATTGTATGGTCAGGTTGTGTTGTATGGTCAGGTTGTATGGTCAGGTTGTATGATCAGGTTGTATGGTCAAGTTGTGTTGTATGGTCAGGTTGTATGATCAGGTTGTATGGTCAAGTTGTGTTGTATGGTCAGGTTGTGTTGTATGGTCAGGTTGTATGGTCAGGTTGTGTTGTATGGTCAGGTTGTAAGGTCAGGTTGTGTTGTATGGTCAGGCTGTGTTGTATGGTCAGGTTGTGTTGTATGGTCAGGTTGTATTGTATGGTCAGGTTGTGTTGTATGGTCAGGTTGTATTGTATGGTCAGGTTGTATGGTCAAGTTGTGTTGTATGGTCAGGTTGTGTTGTATGGTCAGGTTGTATGGTCAGGTTGTGTTGTATGGTCAGGTTTTATTGCATGGTCAGGTTGTGTTGTATGGTCAGGTTGTATTGTATGGTCAGGTTGTATTGTATGGTCAGGTTGTATGGTCAGGTTGTGTTGTATGGTCAGGTTGTATGGTCAGGTTGTATGGTCAGGTTGTGTTGTATGGTCAGGTTGTGTTGTATGGTCAGGTTGTATGGTCAGGTTGTGTTGTATGGTCAGGTTGTGTTGTATGGTCAGGTTGTAAGGTCAGGTTGTGTTGTATGGTCAGGTTGTATGGTCAGGTTGTGTTGTATGGTCAGGTTGTGTTGTATGGTCAGGTTGTATGGTATGGTCAGGTTGCGTTGTATGGTCAGGTTGTGTTGTATGGTCAGGTTGTGTTGTATGGTCAGGTTGTATGGTCAGGTTGTGTTGTATGGTCAGGTTGTATTGTATGGTCAGGTTGTGTTGTATGGTCAGGTTGTATTGTATGGTCAGGTTGTATGGTCAAGTTGTGTTGTATGGTCAGGTTGTGTTGTATGGTCAGGTTGTATGGTCAGGTTGTGTTGTATGGTCAGGTTGTATGGTCAGGTTGTATGGTCAAGTTGTGTTGTATGGTCAAGTTGTGTTGTATGGTCAGGTTGTGTTGTATGGTCAAGTTGTGTTGTATGGTGAGGTTGTGTTGTATGGTCAGGTTGTGTTGTATGGTCAGGTTGTAAGGTCAGGTTGTGTTGTATGGTCAGGCTGTGTTGTATGGTCAGGTTGTGTTGTATGGTCAGGTTGTATTGTATGGTCAGGTTGTGTTGTATGGTCAGGTTGTATTGTATGGTCAGGTTGTATGGTCAAGTTGTGTTGTATGGTCAGGTTGTGTTGTATGGTCAGGTTGTATGGTCAGGTTGTGTTGTATGGTCAGGTTTTATTGCATGGTCAGGTTGTGTTGTATGGTCAGGTTGTATTGTATGGTCAGGTTGTATTGTATGGTCAGGTTGTATGGTCAGGTTGTGTTGTATGGTCAGGTTGTATGGTCAGGTTGTATGGTCAGGTTGTGTTGTATGGTCAGGTTGTGTTGTATGGTCAGGTTGTATGGTCAGGTTGTGTTGTATGGTCAGGTTGTGTTGTATGGTCAGGTTGTAAGGTCAGGTTGTGTTGTATGGTCAGGTTGTATGGTCAGGTTGTGTTGTATGGTCAGGTTGTGTTGTATGGTCAGGTTGTGTTGTATGGTCAGGTTGTATGGTCAGGTTGTGTTGTATGGTCAGGTTGTGTTGTATGGTCAAGTTGTGTTGTATGGTCAGGTTGTGTTGTATGGTCAGGTTGTGTTGTATGGTCAGGTTGTATGGTCAGGTTGTATGGTCAGGTTGTGTTGTATGGTCAGGTTGTGTTGTATGGTCAGGTTGTATGGTCAGGTTTTTATGGTCAGGTTGTGTTGTATGGTCAGGTTGTGTTGTATGGTCAAGTTGTGTTGTATGATGAGGTTGTGTTGTATGGTCAGGTTGTGTTGTATGGTCAGGTTGTAAGGTCAGGTTGTGTTGTATGGTCAGGTTGTATGGTCAGGTTGTGTTGTATGGTCAGGTTGTGTTGTATGGTCAGGTTGTGTTGTATGGTCAGGTTGTATGGTCAGGTTGTGTTGTATGGTCAGGTTGTGTTGTATGGTCAAGTTGTGTTGTATGGTCAGGTTGTGTTGTATGGTCAGGTTGTGTTGTATGGTCAGGTTGTATGGTCAGGTTGTATGGTCAGGTTGTGTTGTATGGTCAGGTTGTGTTGTATGGTCAAGTTGTGTTGTATGGTCAGGTTGTATTGTATGGTCAGGTTGTATTGTATGGTCAGGTTGTATGGTCAAGTTGTGTTGTATGGTCAGGTTGTGTTGTATGGTCAGGTTGTATGGTCAGGTTGTGTTGTATGGTCAGGTTGCGTTGTATGGTCAGGTTGTATGGTCAGGTTGTGTTGTATGGTCAGGTTGTATTGTATGGTCAGGTTGTGTTGTATGGTCAGGTTGTGCTTAAAGTATGAAACTTTTGCTTTCCATTATAAGCCTATTAAACTTTTGCTTTCCATTATAAGCCCATTAAACTTTTGCTTTCCATTATAAGCCCATTAAACTTTTGCTTTCCATTATAAGCCCATTAAACTTTTGCTTTCCATTATAAGCCCATTAAACTTTTGTCTTCCAGCCAAGTATGATGTTCTGGTGTACTTAGAGGACAGTATGGCCCAACTGTTGGAACACAGAGAAGAAAATCCTAAAGTTGTTGCTTCTAAATTTCTTTGTGAATAGTATGGACTTCATTTTACACTTGAAAATCTTTACAACACTCTTATAGTATAGCTTCAGTTTTATACTGTCAGTTTTATACTTTCAGGTTTATACTGTCAGGTTTATACTGTCAGGTTTATAATGTCACTTTTATACAGTCACTTTTATTAGGTTGTCCAAACTGAAATTAACTATTGATTGCAGTCTTCTGTAATGAGTATCTCCTGAAAGAACTTATAATTGTAAGCTCTATGACACAAATTTTATAAAAAATATCTCAATAACTAAAAAAGTCATGCGATTTTTTAAAAAGCAAAACGGATTTTCAAAAAGTGCCATTTTTTGAGAACCCATATTTTCTAAACTAAATAACATGGAAGTGTAGAAATTGGTATAGTTGCTGAACAATTTGTAATATATATGCCCAATTTTTTTCAGTCATCTAAAGTGAGTCTTTCTAAGTTAAAAAAATAATTGAAAATGACAAGAATGCATTTTTTATCATTTTTATTTTCATACAAAATTTTTTTTTAAAATCTATTTTTTTAAATTTTTGCTTTGGACATAGAATAACTCTAAAACTATTGTGTTGGTAACATTAACAAGAAGAATGTGTTCATTATTTTCAAAAGTCACGTGAGTTAAAATATTATTTTAAAAAATGACACATTTATCTAGTGCAGGAGAAACAGAATCTAAATTTAGGGGAGTTGTAATGTAATGTAGTCTAATAAAGACTTGCCGCCTCCAAGTGATGCAGCAGTTGATGCCACATGATTTGGTTTCTTTTCAAACCTATCCGGTTGATAGCTGCTTTGGGGGGAAAAGTTTTTAAAACTACAACTCTACATCTTTGTAAGTCTTGTTTTCCTCAACCTTGATCTTGTGGAGCATCAAGAGTAATCGATATGTTTTGGGAACTGTAGGGGGGGGGCATCTTACCTTCCAAGGAAAGATCTGGATAGGCGATCATAAATGTCTCCAGCTGTGGAATAAACAATTGATTTAGTGATTGATAAAATATAATTAAATTTACTACTAGCCTATTGTTAGCCTACTATTTGTCCTATAACTATAACTGGAAACATGAAAAAGCCTGAAAACGCCTTTTTGTTAAAAGTAATTTATACTCGATAGTATATTTTTATTAGATCTAGTAGTAGTAGGTCTACTGAATGAAATATTCGTTGCTTGTGCCACACTAGTTGAGATATCCAATGATGAAGATGCCATACTGTGGTTCTCAACATTCTATATGACAACTTAACTGTCCTTCATTGTTACTACTATACGCATATAAAATAAATAATGAGAAACACTACTAGTGCTACTTACACTTACAACTAATATAACATTTAAAACTAAGTCACAACATGTGCGATCTTAATAAACTGCATCACCATCTAAAAATTGATCTGGTACATTTTATTAAGGAGACTGGCGCAGACCATTTCACATTATTCAGCAGGGGAATCAGGATCAGAGTGCACAACAGAAAATTAAAAAAATTAATCACATTAGTGCTTAAAATTTAGTGTCTTTTGTTTTAAATAAATTGATAAAAATGTATAGTTATTATAATTATAAATTTCTTTTGTGTTTCATTAATATTTTATAAGTGTTTAACCTTCGTTCCCTGTAAATAATTGAGTTCGTCCACATAGTAACCAGGATTGTCTGGTGGCCATTTTGAATTTGTCGATTCATAATTTTGACGTGATAGTCCAGATCAACTTTAGTAATACGATCCTTTTATTAATCCCATTCGATAGATTTTAAAGAATTAGTAAACACTAGCATCTTATAGTCTTATAGTTTAGTGCATCCATATTTTAAGTCCATAGAATGTCCTGAATTAAATAGCTTCACGTCTAAACATACCATGTGTACAAGCGTAGTTCACACGCTAAAACCGTGGACTAGTAATGAAGTATCGTTCAAATTTTCATTAATAACTTGTACTAATTAAACCAACCTTTAAAACCGTTCGGCGAGCTACTCACTTGGGGCTGAAAGTTGACTCGAGGGTTATATGCTTATTGAGGGCACAGCTTCGCGACCGTAAATGAGAAATACGTGAATTTACAACACAAAGTAGTTATAAAAGTGAACTTTACATCGGTGTAAAGATTGAAACAGACTTTGTTTTCGTGTATATATCATTTAAAGTTTAAAAACTATATTTTTAAATGAAATAAACAAGTTATTTTTTCAATTTATACATCAAACAATAGGCTAGAATTCGCTCTTTAAAAGGGCATGAAGATTATGCTTCTACAATGCTTAGTCGCGAAACCGCGACCAAATGAAACAGTGTGGGGTCGATCGGTACTCGCAAAACGCTGAAATTTGTTGACGTAACTAATACTTTTCAAACAAATATAAAACACATTCAAACATGTGTTACAGATATAAAAAATACCAGATTTCGACAGATAAAGACTTAAACCTAATTGACATATAATTTTTATTCTTATAGCACAACTAGAAGTAGTGAATTTCTTTTTTTGAAAACCGCAAAAAAATTACCCCAAAACGCACTTTTTCGCCAGTTTGGACTACCTACTTTTATACTGTCAGGCCTAAAGTTAGGCACCAATAAAATTAGTTCTCTGAATAATCTGTATCATTGTCTTAATATTAACTTGTGTAGGCCTTGTTAAACTATACAAACCATGTATGTTAACCTATACAAACCAGCATGTATGTTAACCTATACAAACCAACATGTATGTTAACCTATACAAACCAGCATGTATGTTAACCTATACAAACCAACATGTTTGTTAACCTATACAAACCAACATGTTTGTTAACCTATACAAACCAACATGTATGTTAACCTATACAAACCAACATGTATGTTAACCTTTACAAACCAACATGTATGTTAACCTATACAAACCAACATGTTTGTTAACCTATACAAACCATGTATGTTAACCTACACAAACCATGTATGTTAACCTACACAAACCTTGTATGTTAACCTACACAAACCATGTATGTTAACCTATACAAACCAACATGTATGTTAACCTACACAAACCTTGTATGTTAACCTACACAAACCTTGTATGTTAACCTATACAAACCAACATGTATGTTAACCTACACAAACCAACATGTATGTTAACCTATACACACCAACATACTATGTTAACCTACACAAACCTTGTATGTTAACCTATACAAACCAACAAATATGTTAACCTATACAAACCAACATACTATGTTAACCTATACAAACCAACATACTATGTTAACCTACACAAACCTTGTATGTTAACCTATACAAACCAACATGTATGTTAACCTATACAAACCAACATACTATGTTAACCTATACAAACCAACATACTATGTTAACCTATACAAACCAACATACTATGTTAACCTACACAAACCTTGTATGTTAACCTATACAAACCAACATGTATGTTAACCTATACAAACCAACATACTATGTTAACCTATACAAACCTTGTATGTTAACCTACACAAACCATGTATGTTAACCTACACAAACCAACATGTTAACCTACACAAACCATGTATGTTAACCTATACAAACCAACATGTATGTTAACCTATACAAACCAACATGTATGTTAACCTATACAAACCAACAAATGTGTTAACCTATACAAACCAACATACTATGTTAACCTATATAAACCAACATGTATGTTAACCTACACAAACCATGTATGTTAACCTATACAAACCAACATACTATGTTAACCTATACAAACCAACATGTATGTTAACCTACATAAACCAACATGTATGTTAACCTACACAAACCAACATGTATGTTAACCTATACAAACCAACATGTATGTTAACCTATTCAAACCAACATGTATGTTAACCTACACAAACCATGTATGTTAACCTACACAAACCTTGTATGTTAACCTACACAAACCAACACATATGTTAACCTATACAAACCAACATGTATGTTAACCTATACAAACCATGTATGTTAACCTATACAAACCAACATGTATGTTAACCTATACAAACCAACATGTATGTTAACCTATACAAACCAACATGTTTGTTAACCTATACAAACCAACATGTATGTTAACCTATACAAACCATGTATGTTAACCTATACAAACCAACATGTATGTCAACCTATACAAACCAACATGTATGTTAACCTATACAAACCAACATACTATGTTAACCTACACAAACCAACATGTATGTTAACCTATACAAACCAACATGTATGTTATCCTATACAAACCAACATGTATGTTATCCTATACAAACCAACATGTTTGTTAACCTATACAAACCAACATGTTTGTTAACCTATGCAAACCATGTATGTTAACCTATACAAACCAGGTATGTTAACCTACACAAACCATGTATGTTAACCTATACAAACCAACATGTATGTTAACCTATACAAACCAACATGTATGTTAACCTATACAAACCAACATGTATGTTAACCTACACAAACCAACATGTATGTTAACCTACACAAACCATGTATGTTAACCTACACAAACCTTGTATGTTAACCTATACAAACCAACATGTATGTTAACCTACACAAACCATGTATGTTAACCTATACAAACCAACATGTATGTTAACCTATACAAACCAACATGTATGTTAACCTATACAAACCAACATGTATGTTAACCTATACAAACCAACATGTATGTTAACCTATACAAACCAACACGTATGTTAACCTACACAAACCAACATGTATGTTAACCTACACAAACCAACACGTATGTTAACAAATGAATGCCCCTCCAACATCCCCAGCTTCTGCAGCCTGCGAGATGGCAATCACACCATGTTCAGAGAATTTAACTTTATAAGGAAGACGGCACACAACAGAGCATCTTTTGTTCATCTATTCTGGAAATGTTTCAGACACATTGGGAAAAAAGGAGGTACCTGCCTTAGAAAAAAGAGCTACTAGTAGTACCTGTCTTATAAAAAGGAGGTACCAGTAGTACCTGCCTTATGATAAGGAGGTACCAGTAGTACCTGCCTTATGATAAGGAGGTACCAGTAGTACCTGCCTTATGATAAGGAGGTACCAGTAGTACCTGCCTTATGATAAGGAGGTACCAGTAGTACCTGCCTTATGATAAGGAGGTACCAGTAGTACCTGCCTTATGATAAGGAGGTACTAGTAGTACCTGCCTTATGATAAGGAGGTACTAGTAGTACCTAGTCAAATTGTGCACACACAGCATCCTTTAGCCATATCTCAGTATCCTTGACACGGCATTCTTTGTGTAATAGATTGAGATAATTGTATTGGTATTATATTTATATTGTTATCTTGAGTGATGTCCCTTACATGTTGTTATCTATATATAGTTGTCTCTGGCCACTTCCTTCCTCTCTCTTTGCATCATGGCGTCTGTAAATAAAGGCTGTTAACACCAATGTGGCTCCTCGTCAATCTATAACATTTTGGCGACGAAGGATAAACATCTACTAGAAAGAGCACCTACTTACGCAAAAAAGAGGTTTGCTAGAGCTTATTAGCTAATTATTTCTAGAATAATGGCGCTGTATGGCCAAATAAAAGAATTTGATGCGAATGATGAAATCATTCAAGATTACCTAGAGAGGTTAAGCTTTTACCTAGAAGCTAACAACGTGACGATAGAAGCCAAAAAGAGAGCTATTTTGTTAACAGTCATAGGGCCTCAACAATTTAGGCTACTAAAAGACTTATGCGCACCAGCTAGTCTAACTACCAAGAGCTTTAACGAGCTGAGCAAATTGCTAATAGACCACCATGCGCCTACCCCATCAAAGTTTCTATGTAGAGCTAGATTTGACAGTAGGATTCGTCAACCAAACGAGTCAATATCAGAATATGTTGCTGCTTTATGTCATCTAAGTAGATTCTGTGAATTTGGAGAAACGCTGTCTGACAGACTATGTGAAAAGTTTGTGACAGGTGTAAATAGCCCTGATATTCAAAGAAAGTTGCTGCTCGAGTCAGATCTAACATTAGAAAAAGCAATACAACTTGCAATGTCATTCCAGCAGTCATCAGATGCGGCGAGATCTTTAGCACCTTCAGAGATCCATGCAGTAAACAGCAGGTTAGTCAATAAACATCAACCCCATCAGAGCATTCCAACTTATGCTAAACAGCCTGCTCGTTCAAAGCCTAGATCTAAATCTAGTAATTATCAAAAATGTCATCGATGCAAGGGTCCCCATGCATCTCATCGGTGCAAGTTCAAGTCTGCAACTTGTTATAAGTGCAGTAAGCAAGGTCACATTGCCAAGGCCTGCTTTGCAAAGTCTTCGTCTGTTGCTAAATCTAGCCAGTCAAGACAGTACCGCAACCAAAGGCAGCACTATGTTAACTCTCACCAAGACTACCTAACTCAACCAATGAACCACTCTACCTGTGAAAATGCTCAAACTGATTCGCAGCCGGATTTCAACCTATTCTCTGTGAAATCAATAAGTCATGCTCCCATCAATGTACCAGTTAATATCAACGGTAAGAGCATCAGCTTCCAACTTGACACTGGAGCATCTCTAACAGTCATAACAAAGAAAGATTTTGACGCTGTCACAGGAGGATCAGTGCCTCTACAGCCATGTCACAAGTGTCTAACAACATACACTGGTGACAATGTTCCGGTAATAGGAGAGTGTATGGTTCATGTAAGTTATAATGGTCAAAGTGTTAAACTTCCTCTTCTTGTGGTTGAAGGAAATGGACCACCATTACTAGGTAGGAACTGGTCAAGTGATCTTAAGTTAAATTGGGAGAGTATTTGTTCATTGAAGAATGTAAAAGAATCTAGTCTTACTTCACTAGATTAAGTTATATCTGAAAATAAATGTGTTTTTGGTAACTCTGGATTACTAAAGGATAGAACAGTGAAGTTAAGCATTAAAGACACAAATCCAAGATACTGCAAAGCTAGAGTTCCACCTTATGCAATGAGGAACAAAATTGAAAATGAGCTAAGTAGATTGGAATCTAATGGCATTATAAAGAAGGTAGACTATTCCGATTGGGCGTCGCCCATTGTGCCAGTGTTAAAGAAGGATGGTTCTATAAGAATTTGTGGAGATTATAAAACTACACTGAATAAGCAAATAGAGCTAAATAGGTACCCTATACCTAACATTGAGGAAATTTCTTTGAATTTGGCAGGAGGAGACAAATTCACTGAATTAGACTTTAGTCATGCTTACACTCAACTAGAACTGCATCCAGATTCAAAAGTCTATACGACAATAAACACACATAAAGGACTCTACCAATATGAAAGACTATGTTTTGGCATATCATCCAGCCCTGGAATTTTCCAAGCTGTCATGGACAGTATTTTTAAGGATATTCCAAATGTTTGTGTGTACTTTGACAATGTGTACATAACTGGTAAGAATGACACTGAACATCTTAAAACACTTGATAAAGTATTGAAAATTGTTGGTGAAAAAGGTTTAAAGATAAACAAAGATAAATGTCAATTCATGCTGACAGAAATTAGTTTTCTTGGTTATATATTGAGCAAACAAGGCATCAGACCTCAACCTGAGAAAACAAAAGCCATTAAAGAAGCACCCAAAACTGAAAATACCCAACAACTAAGAGCTTTTTTGGGCTTGATAAATTACTATGCAAAGTTCATAGGAAATCTGTCTGGTAAACTATCACCACTGTACAAGCTGCTACAGAAAAATGCAACTTGGCACTGGGGTAAACAACAAGAAGCTGCTTTTAATACAGCAAAAGAGGCTTTGTCTTCTGACACCTTACTAACTCACTATGACCCAGGGAAAAGACTTATATTAACATGTGATGCTTCACCAGATGGTGTAGGAGCAGTCTTGTCCCACATGGATGAGAAGGGTGACAGACCCATTGCTTTTGCCAGTAGATCTTTGAACCAGGCTGAGAAAAATTATTCTCAGTTAGATAGGGAAGGCTTAGGCATCATTCTTGGTGTTAAGAAATTTCATAAGTTTCTGTTTGGTAGGAAGTTCACCATCTTTACAGATCATAAACCATTGCTAGGGTTATTTGGAGAAAACAAAACCCTACCTGAGCATGCCTCACCAAGAATTCAAAGATGGGCTATCACACTAACTGCATACAATTATGAATTGAAATACAAACCTGGATCTGAGAATAGTGCAGATAGTCTTAGTAGATTACCTTTAAAAAACCAAAGCCTGAGCTATGTACCAGAAGATGTATTTGTTCTCTTCACTATCATGGATAACTCCAATATAAATGTGAATGATATTAAAAGAGAAACACAAAAAGATGAGTGCTTAATAAAAGTATATGAGTACTGTATGAATGGTTGGCCTGAAGAGTCTGTGAATGATGACTTAAGGCCATATAAAATAAGAAATTAAAACCCTTTGTGAAGATAATATAAAAGATGGAGAAGATGCAGTCCATTACCAGTCAGAGTTGCCTAAACAAAGTATTTGTAACTTAATAAATGATTATGGTGATATGGCAATTTCAAATGTTTTAAAGAGAATACATTAGTAAGAAGGAATGTGATCATCAAACAACTTTGCTAACATCATTAGCACTTACAGAAACCAAAAGGGTAACATCAAAAGAAAAGAAAAAAGATTTTTGCCATTTAATACACCCATTTCAAATACTGGATCACAGTTGCAAAGTGATATTGTCCAGGATATTACTTTTAAACAGTATGTTTGGTTACGAAAAAGCACTATCAGATTACCTGAGGAAATTGATCAATCAAAGAAATCTATGCCAGTTAAGGATCTGAATAATAGCATAATACTTTCAGATGCCAATTCAAAAAGTAAATCATGACAGAACACCCATTGAAAGAGAATTTGGTATTAATGAGAATGTGTATCTAAGAAACTATGGGAGAAAGGAAAAATGGATACCAGGTCAAATTGTTCAATGTACAGGACCTGTGTCTTATAAAGTTAAAAATAACTTGTGCAGATAATAAGTGTGAATCTGTGAATCCCACCAAATCTGATCAGTTCACACCAACTCAGTTTGTTCCACAACCAAGTTCTGTTGATATGAGTGAACCAAGTTGTCTGGAGTCAGAAAATGTAAATTCTGGAGTTAATGATTTAAATCCTAGACCTCCTGAGATAGAGAATCCAGATGGTCAGAATCTTGAGTCACCAAATCAAAAGCCACTGAGAAGGTCAAGCAGGACAATCAAAGTCCCAAATAAGTTAGACCTATGATTTTAAAGGTCAAGAGGACTTTGACATTATTGTTTTGTATCTTGATTATGTTGTGGCATATTGTGCATTGTTTGTAAGGATGTAATCTACCATAGTGTTCATGTTACAATATAATTGGTGATTTTAGGATACTATCAATTGTTCTATTGAGAGATGTGTTATTGTGTTCTAAGGGTAAAGGGATGTAATAGATTGAGATAATTGTATTGGTATTATATTTATATTGTTATCTTGAGTGATGTCCCTTACATGTTGTTATCTATATATAGTTGTCTCTGGCCACTTCCTTCCTCTCTCTTTGCATCATGGCGTCTGTAAATAAAGGCTGTTAACACCAATGTGGCTCCTCGTCAATCTATAACACTTTGTGTAGCAAATGTCATGTCTTGTGTAGCAAATGTCATGACTTGTGTAGCAAATGTCATGTCTTGTGTAGCAAATGTCATGTCTTGTCTCCAGATCTGCTGAGTATCCAGGAATATCATTCCCTGCTTGGTTTACTCTGTCCAGATTTCCCCTTTCAGCTGGTGCAGAAAACTGCCAGGTAGGCCTTTTTAACTCAATTTTAATTTTGTTGTCAACAAGAGAAAAACTGCAAAGAAAAGCTTTTATAATTTAATATCACTTGTTTTAATTTCAGAATTGTTTTAATTTCAGAATTGTTTTAATTTCAGAATTTTTTTAATTTCAGAATTGTTTTAATTTCAGAATTGTTTTAATTTCAGAATTGTTTTAATTGATGATGCACTAGACTGCTTGATCTCTTTCTCTGATTTTATTTTTGCCTTTCAAGTTCAATTTTACTATGAGGGTAAGCAACATTGATTTAAATTTTTGATTTTTGTTAAATGAGTAGCTCATCTGGGTCTTGGATAAGTGTGAAGAATTTTTTTTAGATCTGTTTATTGCAGCTGTTTGTACCTGCTGTTAGACCTGTTTAGCTGTTTACCCCCAGAGTTCCTGCTGCTAGACCTGTTTAGTTGTTTACCCCTGCTGTTAGACCTGTTTAGCTGTTTACCCCTGCTGTTAGACCTGTTTAGCTGTTTACCCATGCTGTTAGACCTGTTTAGCTATTACCCCCAGAGTTCCTGCTGTTAGAACTGTTTAGCTGTTTACCCCTGCTGTTAGACCTGTTTAGCTGTTTACCCCTGCTGTTAGACCTGTTTAGCTGTTTACCCCTGCTGTTAGACCTGTTTAGCTATTACCCCCAGAGTTCCTGCTGTTAGACCTGTTTAGCTGTTTACTCCCTGCTGTTAGACCTGTTTAGCTGTTTACCCCCAGAGTTCTTGCTGTTAGACCTGTTTAGCTGTTTACCCCTGCTGTTAGACCTGTTTAGCTGTTTACCCCCAGAGTTCCTGCTGTTAGACCTGTTTAGCTGTTTACCCCTGCTGTTAGACCTGTTTAGCTGTTTACCCCTGCTGTTAGACCTGTTTAGCTGTTTACACCTGCTGTTAGACCTGTTTAGCTGTTTACCCCTGCTGTTAGACCTGTTTAGCTGTTTACCCCTAGAGTTCCTGCTGTTAGAACTGTTTAGCTGTTTACCCCTGCTGTTAGACCTGTTTAGCTGTTTACCCCTGCTGTTAGACCTGTTTAGCTGTTTACCCCTACTGTTAGACCTGTTTAGCTGTTTACCCCTGCTGTTAGACCTGTTTAGCTGTTTACACCTGCTGTTAGACCTGTTTAGCTGTTTACCCCTGCTGTTAGACCTGTTTAGCTGTTTACCCCTGCTGTTAGACCTGTTTAGCTGTTTACCCCCAGAGTTCCTGCTGTTAGAACTGTTTAGCTGTTTACCCCTGCTGTTAGACCTGTTTAGCTGTTTACCCCTGCTGTTAGAACTGTTTAGCTGTTTACCCCTGCTGTTAGACCTGTTTAGCTGTTTACCCCAGCTGTTAGACCTGTTTAGCTGTTTACCCCTGCTGTTAGACCTGTTTAGCTTTTTACCCCTGCTATTAGACCTGTTTAGCTGTTTACCCCTGCTGTTAGACCTGTTTAGCTGTTTACCCCTGCTGTTAGACCTGTTTAGCTGTTTACCCCTGCTGTTAGACCTGTTTAGCTGTTTACCCCTGCTGTTAGACCTGTTTAGCTGTTTACCCCTGCTGTTAGACCTGTTTAGCTGTTTACCCCTGCTGTTAGACCTGTTTAGCTGTTTACCCCCAGAGTTCCTGCTGTTAGACCTGTTTAGCTGTTTACCCCTGCTGTTAGACCTGTTTAGCTGTTTACCCCCAGAGTTCCTGGAGAAGACGTTTGAGCTGTACCAAGCCCAGCTGCAGGCCATGCACAGTCCCAGGGACCCAGTCATTGTCCCAACCTCAGGGGAGAGTGAGGTCAGAGTTCACCAGAACCAACACCTGCCCTCAGATGGAGTGGACGCTGCCCACTTCTTTAGGGCCATTTCCCCTTTTTTAGGGAACACTGTGGATTTTAGGTCAGTCGGAAGGGACTCTGTGTTTGTTGAGTTGCTGAATGACTTGATGGTAACACCTGACTGAATGACTTCACCTGACTGAATGACTTCACCTGACTGAATGACTTCACCTGACTGAATGACTTGATGTTAGCACTTGCTGAATGACTTGATGGTAACACCTGACTGAATGACTTCACCTGACTGAATGACTTCACCTGACTGAATGACTTCACCTGACTGAATGACTTGATGTTAGCACTTGCTGAATGACTTGATGGTAACACCTGACTGAATGACTTCACCTGACTGAATGACTTCACCTGACTGAATGACTTCACCTGACTGAATGACTTGATGTTAGCACTTGCTGAATGACTTGATGGTAACACCTGACTGAATGACTTCACCTGACTGAATGACTTCACCTGACTGAATGACTTCACCTGACTGAATGACTTGATGATAGCACCTGACTGAATGACTTGATGTTAGCACCTGCTGAATGACTTCACATGACTGAATGACTTCACCTGACTGAATGACTTGATGTTAGCACCTGGCTGAATGACTTGATGGTAGCACCTGACTGAATGACTTCACCTGACTTAATGACTTCACCTGACTGAATGACTTGATGGTAACACCTGACTGAATGACTTGATGGTAGCACCTGACTGAATGACTTGATGGTAACACCTGACTGAATGACTTGATGTTAGCACCTGACTGAATGACTTCACCTGACTGAATGACTTGATGGTAGCACCTGACTGAATGACTTGATGTTAGCACCTGCTGAATGACTTCACCTGACTGAATGACTTCACCTGACTGAATGACTTCACCTGACTGAATGACTTGATGTTAGCACCTGACTGAATGACTTGATGGTAGCACCTGACTGAATGACTTCACCTGACTTAATGACTTCACCTGACTGAATGACTTGATGGTAGCACCTGACTGAATGACTTGATGTTAGCACCTGACTGAATGACTTCACCTGACTGAATGACTTGATGGTAACACCTGACTGAATGACTTGATGGTAGCACCTGACTGAATGACTTGATGTTAGCACCTGACTGAATGACTTCACCTGACTGAATGACTTCACCTGACTGAATGACTTGATGGTAGCACCTGACTGAATGACTTGATGTTAGCACCTGACTGAATGACTTCACCTGACTGTATGACTTCACCTGACTGAATGACTTGATGTTAGCACCTGACTGAATGACTTGATGGTAGCACCTGACTGAATGACTTGATGGTAGCACCTGACTGAATGACTTCACCTGACTTAATGACTTCACCTGACTGAATGACTTGATGGTAACACCTGACTGAATGACTTGATGGTAGCACCTGACTGAATGACTTGATGGTAACACCTGACTGAATGATTTGATGTTAGCACCTGACTGAATGACTTCACCTGACTGAATGACTTCACCTGACTGAATGACTTCACCTGACTGAATGACTTGATGATAGCACCTGACTGAATGACTTGATGTTAGCACCTGCTGAATGACTTCACCTGACTGAATGACTTCACCTGACTGAATGACTTGATGTTAGCACCTGACTGAATGACTTGATGGTAGCACCTGACTGAATGACTTCACCTGACTTAATGACTTCACCTGACTGAATGACTTGATGGTAACACCTGACTGAATGACTTGATGGTAGCACCTGACTGAATGACTTGATGGTAACACCTGACTGAATGACTTGATGTTAGCACCTGACTGAATGACTTCACCTGACTGAATGACTTGATGGTAGCACCTGACTGAATGACTTGATGTTAGCACCTGCTGAATGACTTCACCTGACTGAATGACTTCACCTGACTGAATGACTTCACCTGACTGAATGACTTGATGTTAGCACCTGACTGAATGACTTGATGGTAGCACCTGACTGAATGACTTCACCTGACTTAATGACTTCACCTGACTGAATGACTTGATGGTAGCACCTGACTGAATGACTTGATGTTAGCACCTGACTGAATGACTTCACCTGACTGAATGACTTGATGGTAACACCTGACTGAATGACTTGATGGTAGCACCTGACTGAATGACTTGATGTTAGCACCTGACTGAATGACTTCACCTGACTGAATGACTTCACCTGACTGAATGACTTGATGGTAGCACCTGACTGAATGACTTGATGTTAGCACCTGACTGAATGACTTCACCTGACTGTATGACTTCACCTGACTGAATGACTTGATGTTAGCACCTGACTGAATGACTTGATGGTAGCACCTGACTGAATGACTTGATGGTAGCACCTGACTGAATGACTTCACCTGACTTAATGACTTCACCTGACTGAATGACTTGATGGTAACACCTGACTGAATGACTTGATGGTAGCACCTGACTGAATGACTTGATGGTAACACCTGACTGAATGATTTGATGTTAGCACCTGACTGAATGACTTCACCTGACTGAATGACTTCACCTGACTGAATGACTTCACCTGACTGAATGACTTGATGATAGCACCTGACTGAATGACTTGATGTTAGCACCTGCTGAATGACTTCACCTGACTGAATGACTTCACCTGACTGAATGACTTGATGTTAGCACCTGACTGAATGACTTGATGGTAGCACCTGACTGAATGACTTCACCTGACTTAATGACTTCACCTGACTGAATGACTTGATGGTAACACCTGACTGAATGACTTGATGGTAGCACCTGACTGAATGACTTGTGGTAACACCTGACTGAATGACTTGATGTTAGCACCTGACTGAATGACTTCACCTGACTGAATGACTTGATGGTAGCACCTGACTGAATGACTTGATGTTAGCACCTGCTGAATGATTTCACCTGACTGAATGACTTCACCTGACTGAATGACTTGATGTTAGCACCTGACTGAATGACTTCACCTGACTTAATGACTTCACCTGACTGAATGCCTGTGTTGTATCTTGCAGTACACCTTCAGCCAGCAGTTTAAAAGAAATTCTCTTCAGTGTTTCAAGGATCTCCTTTTATGGTTTTCTCATGGCAGTGGCTAAATCTGACGCCATCAATGCACAAATAGGTCAGTCTTTAATTTTTTTCTTTTCTTGATCAAACGGTTTTTTTTTAAAAATTCATTGATAAAAAAGATAAAAAAAGATAGGTATAGAATTACCTGGCGATATTGTCTTTGGTTAATAATGTTGTTACTGTTACATGTCCATTGAGTTTGGTTGATAATGTTGTTACTGTTACATGTCCATTGAGTTTGGTTGATAATGTTGTTACTGTTACATGTCCATTGAGTTTGGTTGATAAAGTTGTTACTGTTACATGTCCATTGAGTTTGGTTGATAAAGTTGTTACTGTTACATGTCCATTGAGTTTGGTTGATAAAGTTGTTACTGTTACATGTCCATTGAGTTTGGTTGATAATGTTGTTACATGTCCATTGAGTTTGGTTGATATTGTTGTTACTGTTACATGTCCATTGAGTTTGGTTGATATTGTTGTTACTGTTACATGTCCATTGAGTTTGGTTGATAAAGTTGTTACTGTTACATGTCCATTGAGTTTGGTTGATATTGTTGTTACTGTTACATGTCCATTGAGTTTGGTTGATATTGTTGTTACTGTTACATGTCCATTGAGTTTGGTTGATATTGTTGTTACTGTTACATGTCCATTGAGTTTGGTTGATATTGTTGTTACTGTTACATGTCCATTGAGTTTGGTTGATAAAGTTGTTACTGTTACATGTCCATTGAGTTTGGTTGATATTGTTGTTACTGTTACATGTCCATTGAGTTTGGTTGAACTAAGGGTCTAAATGTATCAAGACAATGGTGGTGTGACTTGTTCCATTTGTTACCTCAGGACGTCTACCAGACAAGGCTCAGCTGCTGGAGGGAGCAGATCTGGAACTAGCGTCGTAAGTTGGCTGCATTCATTTTATATCTGATTGGTTCTCTTGTCATGGCTGCATTCATTTTATATCTGATTGGTTCTCTTGTCATGGCTGCATTCATTTTATATCTGATTGGTTCTCTTGTCATGGCTGCATTCATTTTATATCTGATTGGTTCTCTTGTCATGGCTGCATTCATTTTATATCTGATTGGTTCTCTTGTCATGGCTGCATTCATTTTATATCTGATTGGTTCTCTTGTCATGGCTGCATTCATTTTATATCTGATTGGTTCTCTTGTCATGGCTGCATTCATTTTATATCTGATTGGTTCTCTTGTCATGGCTGCATTCATTTTATATCTGATTGGTTCTCTTGTCATGGCTGCATTCATTTTATATCTGATTGGTTCTCTTGTCATGGCTGCATTCATTTTATATCTGATTGGTTCTCTGGGTAGTGAGTGGTAATGAAACATCAAATCTTTTTTCACCCTTGGAAAAATTGATACTAGTTAGACTTGATTTAGCTGGTGTAACCATAGAAAAGTGAGACTTGGTTTAGCTGGTGTAACCATAGAAAAGTGAGACTTGGTTTAGCTGGTGTAACCATAGAAAAGTGAGACTTGATTTAGCTGGTGTAACCATAGAAAAGTGAGACTTGATTTAGCTGGTGTAACCATAGAAAAGTGAGACTTGGTTTAGCTGGTGTAACCATAGAAAAGTGAGACTTGATTTAGCTGGTGTAACCATAGAAAAGTGAGACTTGGTTTAGCTGGTGTAACCATAGAAAAGTGAGACTTGGTTTAGCTGGTGTAACCATAGAAAAGTGAGACTTGATTTAGCTGGTGTAACCATAGAAAAGTGAGACTTGATTTAGCTGGTGTAACCATAGAAAAGTGAGACTTGATTTAGCTGGTGTAACCATAGAAAAGTGAGACTTGGTTTAGCTGGTGTAACCATAGAAAAGTGAGACTTGGTTTAGCTGGTGTAACCATAGAAAAGTGAGACTTGGTTTAGCTGGTGTAACCATAGAAAAGTGAGACTTGATTTAGCTGGTGTAACCATAGAAAAGTGAGACTTGGTTTAGCTGGTGTAACCATAGAAAAGTGAGACTTGGTTTAGCTGGTGTAACCATAGAAAAGTGAGACTTGGTTTAGCTGGTGTAACCATAGAAAAGTGAGACTTGGTTTAGCTGGTGTAACCATAGAAAAGTGAGACTTGGTTTAGCTGGTGTAACCATAGAAAAGTGAGACTTGATTTAGCTGGTGTAACCATAGAAAAGTGAGACTTGATTTAGCTGGTGTAACCATAGAAAAGTGAGACTTGATTTAGCTGGTGTAACCATAGAAAAGTGAGACTTGGTTTAGCTGGTGTAACCATAGAAAAGTGAGACTTGATTTAGCTGGTGTAACCATAGAAAAGTGAGACTTGGTTTAGCTGGTGTAACCATAGAAAAGTGAGACTTGGTTTAGCTGGTGTAACCATAGAAAAGTGAGACTTGATTTAGCTGGTGTAACCATAGAAAAGTGAGACTTGATTTAGCTGGTGTAACCATAGAAAAGTGAGACTTGGTTTAGCTGGTGTAACCATAGAAAAGTGAGACTTGATTTAGCTGGTGTAACCATAGAAAAGTGAGACTTGGTTTAGCTGGTGTAACCATAGAAAGTGAGACTTGGTTTAGCTGGTGTAACCATAGAAAAGTGAGACTTGATTTAGCTGGTGTAACCATAGAAAAGTGAGACTTGATTTAGCTGGTGTAACCATAGAAAAGTGAGACTTGATTTAGCTGGTGTAACCATAGAAAAGTGAGACTTGGTTTAGCTGGTGTAACCATAGAAAAGTGAGACTTGGTTTAGCTGGTGTAACCATAGAAAAGTGAGACTTGGTTTAGCTGGTGTAACCATAGAAAAGTGAGACTTGATTTAGCTGGTGTAACCATAGAAAAGTGAGACTTGGTTTAGCTGGTGTAACCATAGAAAAGTGAGACTTGGTTTAGCTGGTGTAACCATAGAAAAGTGAGACTTGATTTAGCTGGTGTAACCATAGAAAAGTGAGACTTGATTTAGCTGGTGTAACCATAGAAAAGTGAGACTTGATTTAGCTGGTGTAACCATAGAAAAGTGAGACTTGGTTTAGCTGGTGTAACCATAGAAAAGTGAGACTTGGTTTAGCTGGTGTAACCATAGAAAAGTGAGACTTGGTTTAGCTGGTGTAACCATAGAAAAGTGAGACTTGGTTTAGCTGGTGTAACCATAGAAAAGTGAGACTTGATTTAGCTGGTGTAACCATAGAAAAGTGAGACTTGGTTTAGCTGGTGTAACCATAGAAAAGTGAGACTTGGTTTAGCTGGTGTAACCATAGAAAAGTGAGACTTGATTTAGCTGGTGTAACCATAGAAAAGTGAGACTTGATTTAGCTGGTGTAACCATAGAAAAGTGAGACTTGGTTTAGCTGGTGTAACCATAGAAAAGTGAGACTTGTATGATCCCAGCTGAATGATCTCAATCTTTCTCTTCTAATGCCAGTCGGTTGGATGCGTATGACCTTCATGCTCGCTATAGGTGTGCTAAACAACTGGTACAGGATACTTTCAAACTTACAGAGCACATTTTCTATTAATTCCAAAGAAATGTCCAAAATAGCTTGTTAAATATTTTTTTTACACAATCAAAAAGCACATATTCCATTTTATGACAGTTGTGATTTCAATGTTAGCCGTTTACTGCTCTTTTGAATACTTTATATCCACCACTGTCTACTTGTATTATGATGTCATAGGTTACATGTTGTAAGAGAACACACTTGTTAATCTACACAGTCATGTCACTTAGTTAAGTGTGTGTATAGATATACACACACACACACATATATATATATATATATATATATATATATATATATATATATATATATATATATATATATATATATATATATATATATATATATATATATATATATATATATATATATATATATATTTATATTTATATTTATATTTATATTTATATTTATATTTATTTATATTTATATTTATATTTATATTTATATTTATATTTATATTTATATTTATATTTATATTTATATTTATATTTATATGTATATGTATATGTATATGTATATGTATATGTATATGTATATGTATATGTATATGTATATGTATATGTATATGTATATGTATATGTATATGTATATGTATATGTATATGTATATGTATATGTATATGTATATGTATATGTATATGTATATGTATATGTATATGTATATGTATATGTATATGTATATGTATATGTATATGTATATGTATATGTATATGTATATGTATATGTATATGTATATGTATATGTATATGTATATGTATATGTATATGTATATGTATATGTATATGTATATGTATATGTATATGTATATGTATATGTATATGTATATGTATATGTATATGTATATGTATATGTATATGTATATGTATATGTATATGTATATGTATATGTATATGTATATGTATATGTATATGTATATGTATATGTATATGTATATGTATATGTATATGTATATGTATATGTATATGTATATGTATATGTATATGTATATGTATATGTATATGTATATGTATATTTATATTTATATTTATATTTATATTTATATTTATATTTATATTTATATTTATATTTATATTTATATTTATATTTATATTTATATTTATATTTATATTTATATTTATATTTATATTTATATTTATATTTATATTTATATTTATATTTATATTTATATTTATATTTATATTTATATTTATATTTATATTTATATTTATATTTATATTTATATTTATATTTATATTTATATTTATATTTATATTTATATTTATATTTATATTTATATTTATATTTATATTTATATTTATATTTATATTTATATTTATATTTATATTTATATTTATATTTATATTTATATTTATATTTATATTTATATTTATATTTATATTTATATTTATATTTATATTTATATATACATACACACACATATACTATATGTCATCCAGTGTGGTGTGCACCTCAGTCCTACTTTTTACTCTACTACTATGAGATTTACACAATTCATATTTAAACTTACACTGAAAAAAATTCTGAAATTTTTGCAGGTTTTTACTAGTAAAATTTTAACACAATTGTTAATATAATTATTTGTGTTATACTTTTTATAAAATGTAGTTTAAAAACTTGAAATGACAACCAAACTAATGATACATATTTGTTTCTAGACAGACCCTAAAGACACCTAGGGTATGATTTTTTTATACTATGGGCTATTCAGTTAGGCAGATCCAATAGTCTCTGCTTGAATAACGTTAGTCTTAACCTTGTTTCCTGCTCTTTATTTTAGTTTCAGTGTAGTTAATCTAACATGTGGCTAACATAGATGTTAGGGACATGTTAGGTCCAGCAGGATGGACATGTTAGGTCCAGCAGGATGGACATGTTAGGTCCAGCAGGATGGATGGACATGTTAGGTCCAGCAGGATGGATGGACATGTTAGGTCCAGCAGGATGGACATGTTAGGTCCAGCAGGATGGACATGTTAGGTCCAGCAGGATGGACATGTTAGGTCCAGCAGGTTGGATGGACATGTTAGGTCCAGCAGGATGGACATGTTAGGTCCAGCAGGTTGGATGGACATGTTAGGTCCAGCAGGATGGACATGTTAGGTCCAGCAGGTTGGATGGACATGTTAGGTCCAGCAGGATGGACATGTTAGGTCCAGCAGGATGGACATGTTAGGTCCAGCAGGATGGATGGACATGTTAGGTCCAGCAGGATGGACATGTTAGGTCCAGCAGGATGGACATGTTAGGTCCAGCAGGATGGACATGTTAGGTCCAGCAGGATGGATGGACATGTTAGGCCCAGCAGGATGGACATGTTAGGACATGTCCAGCAGGTTGGATGGACATGTTAGGTCCAGCAGGATGGACATGTTAGGTCCAGCAGGTTGGATGGACATGTTAGGTCCAGCAGGATGGACATGTTAGGTCCAGCAGGTTGGATGGACATGTTAGGTCCAGCAGGATGGACATGTTAGGTCCAGCAGGATGGACATGTTAGGTCCAGCAGGATGGATGGACATGTTAGGTCCAGCAGGATGGACATGTTAGGTCCAGCAGGTTGGATGGACATGTTAGGTCCAGCAGGATGGACATGTTAGGTCCAGCAGGATGGACATGTTAGGTCCAGCAGGATGGATGGACATGTTAGGTCCAGCAGGATGGATGGACATGTTAGGTCCAGCAGGATGGATGGACATGTTAGGTCCAGCAGGATGGACATGTTAGGTCCAGCAGGATGGACATGTTAGGTCCAGCAGGATGGACATGTTAGGTCCAGCAGGATGGATGGACATGTTAGGCCCAGCAGGTTGGATGGACATGTTAGGTCCAGCAGGTTGGATGGACATGTTAGGTCCAGCAGGTTGGATGGATATGTTAGGTCCAGCAGGATGGACATGTTAGGTCCAGCAGGATGGACATGTTAGGTCCAGCAGGATGGACATGTTAGGTCCAGCAGGTTGGATGGACATGTTAGGTCCAGTTAGGTCCAGCAGGATGGACATGTTAGGTCCAGCAGGTTGGATGGACATGTTAGGTCCAGCAGGATGGACATGTTAGGTCCAGCAGGATGGACATGTTAGGTCCAGCAGGATGGACATGTTAGGTCCAGCAGGATGGACATGTTAGGTCCAGCAGGATGGACATGTTAGGTCCAGCAGGATGGATGGACATGTTAGGTCCAGCAGGATGGACATGTTAGGTCCAGCAGGATGGACATGTTAGGTCCAGCAGGATGGATGGACATGTTAGGTCCAGCAGGATGGACATGTTAGGTCCAGCAGGATGGACATGTTAGGTCCAGCAAGATGGACATGTTAGGTCCAGCAGGATGGACATGTTAGGTCCAGCAGGATGGACATGTTAGGTCCAGCAGGATGGACATGTTAGGTCCAGCAGGATGGACATGTTAGGTCCAGCAGGATGGACATGTTAGGTCCAGCAGGATGGACATGTTAGGTCCAGCAGGATGGATGGACATGTTAGGTCCAGCAGGATGGACATGTTAGGTCCAGCAGGATGGATGGACATGTTAGGTCCAGCAGGATGGACATGTTAGGTCCAGCAGGATGGATGGACATGTTAGGTCCAGCAGGATGGACATGTTAGGTCCAGCAGGATGGACATGTTAGGTCCAGCAGGATGGATGGACATGTTTGGTCCAGCAGGATGGATGGACATGTTAGGTCCAGCAGGATGGACATGTTAGGTCCAGCAGGATGGATGGACATGTTAGGTCCAGCAGGATGGACATGTTAGGTCCAGCAGGATGGACATGTTAGGTCCAGCAGGATGGATGGACATGTTAGGTCCAGCAGGATGGATGGACATGTTAGGTCCAGCAGGATGGATGGACATGTTAGGTCCAGCAGGATGGACATGTTAGGTCCAGCAGGATGGACATGTTAGGTCCAGCAGGATGGATGGACATGTTAGGTCCAGCAGGATGGACATGTTAGGTCCAGCAGGATGGATGGACATGTTAGGTCCAGCAGGATGGACATGTTAGGTCCAGCAGGATGGACATGTTAGGTCCAGCAGGATGGACATGTTAGGTCCAGCAGGATGGACATGTTAGGTCCAGCAGGATGGATGGACATGTTAGGTCCAGCAGGATGGACATGTTAGGTCCAGCAGGATGGACATGTTAGGTCCAGCAGGATGGACATGTTAGGTCCAGCAGGATGGATGGACATGTTAGGTCCAGCAGGATGGACATGTTAGGTCCAGCAGGATGGACATGTTAGGTCCAGCAGGATGGATGGATATGTTAGGTCCAGCAGGATGGACATGTTAGGTCCAGCAGGATGGATGGACATGTTAGGTCCAGCAGGATGGACATGTTAGGTCCAGCAGGATGGATGGACATGTTAGGTCCAGCAGGATGGACATGTTAGGTCCAGCAGGATGGACATGTTAGGTCCAGCAGGATGGACATGTTAGGTCCAGCAGGATGGACATGTTAGGTCCAGCAGGATGGACATGTTAGGTCCAGCAAGATGGACATGTTAGGTCCAGCAGGATGGATGGACATGTTAGGTCCAGCAGGATGGACATGTTAGGTCCAGCAGGATGGATGGACATGTTAGGTCCAGCAGGATGGATGGACATGTTAGGTCCAGCAGGATGGACATGTTAGGTCCAGCAGGATGGATGGACATGTTAGGTCCAGCAGGATGGACATGTTAGGTCCAGCAGGATGGATGGACATGTTAGGTCCAGCAGGATGGACATGTTAGGTCCAGCAGGATGGACATGTTAGGTCCAGCAGGATGGACATGTTAGGTCCAGCAGGATGGACATGTTAGGTCCAGCAGGATGGACATGTTAGGTCCAGCAGGATGGATGGACATGTTAGGTCCAGCAGGATGGATGGACATGTTAGGTCCAGCAGGATGGATGGACATGTTAGGTCCAGCAGGATGGACATGTTAGGTCCAGCAGGATGGATGGACATGTTAGGTCCAGCAGGATGGATGGACATGTTAGGTCCAGCAGGATGGACATGTTAGGTCCAGCAGGATGGACATGTTAGGTCCAGCAGGATGGACATGTTAGGTCCAGCAGGATGGACATGTTAGGTCCAGCAGGATGGACATGTTAGGTCCAGCAGGATGGACATGTTAGGTCCACCAGGATGGATGGACATGTTAGGTCCAGCAGGATGGACATGTTAGGTCCACCAGGATGGATGGACATGTTAGGTCCAGCAGGATGGACATGTTAGGTCCAGCAGGATGGATGGACATGTTAGGTCCAGCAGGATGGACATGTTAGGTCCAGCAGGATGGATGGACATGTTAGGTCCAGCAGGATGGACATGTTAGGTCCAGCAGGATGGACATGTTAGGTCCAGCAGGATGGATGGACATGTTAGGTCCAGCAGGATGGACATGTTAGGTCCAGCAGGATGGATGGACATGTTAGGTCCAGCAGGATGGACATGTTAGGTCCAGCAGGATGGACATGTTAGGTCCAGCAGGATGGATGGACATGTTAGGTCCAGCAGGATGGACATGTTAGGTCCAGCAGGTTGGATGGACATGTTAGGTCCAGCAGGATGGACATGTTAGGTCCAGCAGGATGGACATGTTAGGTCCAGCAGGATGGATGGACATGTTAGGTCCAGCAGGATGGACATGTTAGGTCCAGCAGGATGGACATGTTAGGTCCAGCAGGATGGACATGTTAGGTCCAGCAGGATTTACATGTTAGGTCCAGCAGGATGGATGGACATTTTAGGTCCAGCAGGATGGATGGACATGTTAGGTCCAGCAGGTTGGATGGACATGTTAGGTCCAGCAGGTTGGATGGACATGTTAGGTCCAGCAGGTTGGATGGACATGTTAGGTCCAGCAGGTTGGATGGACATGTTAGGTCCAGCAGGATGGACATGTTAGGTCCAGCAGGATGGACATGTTAGGTCCAGCAGGATGGATGGACATGTTAGGTCCAGCAGGATGGACATGTTAGGTCCAGCAGGATGGATGGATATGTTAGGTCCAGCAGGATGGACATGTTAGGTCCAGCAGGATGGACATGTTAGGTCCAGCTGATTGCTTCCAGACAAAAGTTTGTATGGAACGTACATTTTAGTCAGAAGAATTTTCCTTACTATCTACTTATAGAGAATATAATAACCAAGTGAGAGACATTTTCTTTGCCTATAGATGACTAACAATTATTTGTGTCTGCATTTCCCTATGAGCTTTTTAAACAAATTAGTGAAACAACTAACAGCTAGTTAGTTAACATATCCCTGGCTCATTGTTTTTTTTTTCTCTTTGTAAGCTTAGATAAACATTTCAATCCCCACCCCACCATCCCCTAGATAAACATTTCAATCCACAGCCCACCATCCTCTTGATAAACATTTCAATCCACACCCCACCATCCCCTAGATAAACATTTCAATCCACACCCCACTATCCCCTTGATAAACATTTCAATCCACACCCCACTATCCCCTAGATAAACATTTCAATCCACACCCCACCTTCCCCTAGATAAACATTTCAATCCACACCCCATCCCCTAGATAAACATTTCAATCCACACCCCACTATCCCCTTGATAAACATTTCAATCCACACCCCACTATCCCCTTGATAAACATTTCAATCCACAGCCCACCATCCCCTAGATAAACATTTCAATCCATACCCCACCATCCCCTTGATAAACATTTCAATCCACACCCCACTATCCCCTAGATTATTTCCCTTGAGCACTCTTGCCCAGGTCAAGTTTATTCGTTGTCAGCACAAACCATTTGTTTCTTTTCTTTTTTAATTTCTCATATACAACGTGTAGAGGATGTATTATAAACGTGCACAAAATTAAAAATTTTGCCATTTTACACCTCTCTGAGAGGGAAAAATTTAGCTTTGCAATTTTGTTTTTGTATGTCTGTTTGTGTGTCTGTGTGTGAACATGATAACTGGAGTAGTGTTTCAGATATTAATGAAATTTCATATCTGAGGATTATATTAAGTTCGTAGTTCTGTATTAACTTCTGAGCAATCTTTGGTAAGCTGGAGTGGTACTTATTCTACCTAAAGTTTCTCAAAAGCCAATCACTAGAGTACTGTTTCAATAACTTGAGTACTGTTTTAATAACTTGAGTACTGTTTCAATAACTTGAGTACTGTTTCAATAACTTGAGTACTGTTTCAATAACTAGAGTACTGTTTCAATAACTTGAGTACTGTTTCAATAATTTGAGTACTGTTTCAATAACTTGAGTACTGTTTCAATAACTTGAGTACTGTTTCAATAACTTGAGTACTGTTTCAATAACTTGAGTACTGTTTGAATAACTTGAGTACTGTTTGAATAACTTGAGTACTGTTTGAATAACTTGAGTACTGTTTAATTTTGGTGGATGAAATTTAACATATAAGTATTAAATTGTATGCACAGGTTTATATCAACTTTTGAACAATTTTCAGTAACTGGAAGTGGTATCTTACTGTTATTTAGTGGGAAAACTTAAACTTGAGTTGTTTCAGTTAGGAAGGTGAAATTTTATATATAGGTATAAAATCTTATACTTGGTTTACTTTCAATTTTTAAGTGACCTCCAATAACCATAAGTGCTACTTTATTTCTGGTTTGTTAAACACCGATCAATTAAGTACTGTTTCAGTTAGGTAGACAAAATTTGATACATAGGTTAAGATTTTATTCTCTTGATACTATCAAATTTGATAGGCTGACTAATTAGGTAATCAATGTTTCCTTTAGGCTGACTAATTAGGTAATCAATGTTTCCATTAGGCTGACTAATTGGGTAATCAATGTTTCCTTTAGGCTGAGTTATTAGGTAATCAATGTTTCCTTTATAAAGTACATTCTAATACTAGTTTGTTTTTCTGTGCGCTTCTATTTTTTTAAAATTACATATTTAAATGGAACCTTTCTATTGTATGACTGCTCTGGCAGTCCATCCTCCTCACGGTTATATAAGAATATACGAGAAAGTTTACCGGTCACTCATGCGGATACCCACATCCTGCTTGATGAATGATGTGTGTCTGTACAATTTTGTGCTATCAAATGTTTCCAATGATGGTGTCTCTGTTGTTGTAGAATTGTTGTAGATTTGTTGTCTCATACTTCCAGATAAACAAACAAAGAAGTGAAAAAGTTCAAGAAAACATATCTAGGTAAAGAGAATTAGCCTCACCAATTTAAAGCACATTTTTCCTGCTGTCACATGTTCTTGCACAGAATTAGCCTAAACAAAAGTTTGTTCAGTGTCTGTAGTACTCTGTACTGATACAATTATCTGCTTGCTCATTTATTCAAGCCCACATTGCCTCTGGTACTTGTACACACCCCCACAGAGAGAGTAGGGATAGAGCTAATTATTGTTTCTTTTTATATTGCACATACACATATATTTAGTTTAGTTCCCTACATATATTTATAATTATAATTATATATATATATATATATATATATATATATATATATATATATATATATATATATATATATATATATATATATATATATATATATATATATATATATATATATATATATATATATGTATATATATATATATATATATATATATATATGTATATATGTATATATGTATATATATATATATATATATATATATATATATATATATATATATATA